GGATCCTCTTCCTGGCCTTCTGCTCCTTTGGGGGAAGAGAGGGCACAATTGTACAGCTTTGTAAGAGGAAACCTGAGGTTTCTGACTGCTGACTCTCTCCAGCCCTGACAGGGTTGCTCTAACTATTGAAATGAGAGTCTGGAGGTACTAGTATTCCCCAAGCACAGAAACAATTATTGTCAAAGGAGTTTTAGAGCAAACAGAAAATCCAGCCCAGAATTGGCGAAAACATCTGGGGAGTTCACATCGGGAAACGAATTTCGTTTTTGTTTCTGAATTGGATTGAAGGCAGCAGGAGGTATTAGGTGGGATTCGACCTGCAGGAGGGGCCCTGGCCATGCTCCTGGCTTCCCTGACCCTCCCTCCCCAGATGTGTGTAGTGGGCACTCACTTTGCTTACAATTTACTCGGTACCATGCATCTGTTTTTAGAGTCACCGCTTGCTTGGAAGACTGCTTGGCTCCATGGCCAGTGCCACCCGGGGGCCTGGGCGCCAGCTGACTGCAGACCTGGCCACCTGCTTCTTGACCACAGAATTCGAGATTTATTCGTGAACTCTCCTGATGCGCTGACTTCGGGATGTAAACCATTATTCCTGGGGGTACTTCCCGTGACCTGGACTTCCACAGGGAAGCCCTGGTTCCACCATCGGGAGCGCGCCGATGCCTGGAAAGAGGTTGTATCTAAAACGTTCTCCGTGTTGGGAAATATTTCATGGGCAACCTCTTTTCATTGTCAAGGCTTAAAGGACTCCCAGAACCAGCCTGGGACACTGGAGTGTAAGCCCTCTGACGTCTGGTCTGCCCGGTGCCACGTGGACTCGGGGATCTTCCTGGAGGTGACGCCAGCATCGGCGAAGATTCAGCAGTCTTGTTTTGGTTGTTTTTGTTTGTTTTGTGATCAGTGCTAATCTTGGATACTCGAAGGAGAGGTTATCCGTGTTGTCTTCTCTTTATTTATGATGAAACATACACGGGAAACCTCTTTTTTAGTATCAAATCCCACCCTGGGGGCACTTCCTGTCCCTGATGCAGCCTTCAGGGAGGGACGTTGCCAGCTCTACTCTCGGGAGGCGCAAGCGAGGCTGACGGCGTGACGCGCGTCGTGGGTGTGTGGCTCTCAGGCCCCAGCCCTCCCTGGAGGGCCCTGGGAGGGGGGCTGAGTCTGGAGAAGGGTCCGTGCTTCCGAGGTTGAGGGCAGTTACTCATTGTGGTGATGGTCTGTTTGCCTCTCACGGTGGGTGGGCCTCTTCAGTGTGAGGTCTCGCTCGGATGGCCTTCTGCACACGCCAGGAATGTCATTGAAGGGGCGATAGTGCCATCTGCTCTCCAGGGTAGCTGAGGGGATGGTAGACCGGTGACGTGCACTTCATTTATGATGTAGGTCACCCGTTTGACTATCCACCAGTGCCCGGTCCAGCTGTGGGATGACATCTTGGTGCACATGGCAACTTCGGAGAAGATGTGGGAGGACGTGGGGCCGTGGGACTCTGCAGGACTTCAGGAGGGATTTCCCTTGGGGGCCCCTCCTCCTACCTCCTTCAAGTAAAGCCAAGCAGTCATTAGGGAATAACCTCTCTTTCGGTTTCAAATCCTGCCCAGGAAGGCTGAGAGCCTGACCACTGCCAGTGACAGGACCTCAGAGGCCTTCAGTGCCCCACCAGGGAAAGGCCCGCTCCACAGCACATGCCAAGTGCAGGGTGTGGTGTATCCTGGTGAGGGTCTGAGGAGTGCTGTGTGTGCAGGGTACGGCACGTGTCGGGACAGCTGTGCTTGTGATGGCTGCTTTATTCTGTGTTGCACGAAGAGCGGCTGTCTGACAGCCTTGCCGTGTGCTTGATGAATGCTACATGGTCCATCTCTTTTCCATAGGAGGATTCCTGGACATGAGGCTAGATTCCGGCAGGGCCCTTGGTGCCAGCAATGCTCCTGGTGAGTCGTGGATGGGGCTGAGGAGCTGGCAGCATGATTAAGATGAGCTTCTCCTGAGTCGGGACCACCCAGAAGCCAGCCGCTCTCCGGACAGCATCCAGTCCACGCTCCTTGCCTGGGGAACCGGCTGATCTCTGTCTGTTGTCCAGCTCTGCCTGACCTATGAGGACCCAGACGCCCCAGATGCTCACAGTGTCAGACCCTGCAGAAGAAGTGTCCTGGCTGTGACATGACCTTCAGGGGAGGGATGCCGGAGTCTGGTTGGTGGAGAGTTGGGGAGTGGGCATCTTGTCTGAGGGTGGTCCTGCTATTTCGGATTCGTGTGTCCTGGTCGGTTCATCCCCGTCTCCCTCCCATCCCTAGGATGACTTGTGGGGAGAACGCCTGCTCTGGGGGCTGAAGGTGGGACCCACCTCTCTCACCCGCCTCTTGGTATGCCCCACGGCTACGGCAGCGGCACAGGAAAGTGAGTAGAAATGCAGAAACTCCTTCGGTTGAGGCTGGGAACTGCTGTATTTCCACCCATAGATCACTGACCAGAACAAATTACGTGGCTGAGCCCAAGACAAGGGGCGGGGAGGTCCAGCCCACCGTGAGCAGGTTGCGGTGAGGTGTGAATGCACAAACCGGCAAGGATTTGCCACCATCAAGTCAGTTGTCCACGTGAACCAGCTGAGAACTTGGGTTCCATTTCATTGTTTATTCAGCTTCCTGCCTGCCGTGGGGGCACTTCCCAGGCTCAGGCTGGGGACAGTGGCGATGCTGTGTCAGGGCCCTGGTCTTTCCATGGGTTGAGGCAAACGTTAAAACATCCCTTGCAGAAGCCATTCTAAGAGGACCTCCTCAGCCCAGACGCTCCATCGGGGCAGGCGCTTGGCTGTGTGCCCTGAGATGGTAGGTGGTAGATCTCATCCATCGTATCCACGGAGTTAGTGTGACTCTCCTGGTCCCTCCTCGTCTGTCCTCAGAAGGACTTTTAGGATGCAAAAATCAGTGTTTCTGTGTCATTGTCATTCTGTGATGCTGAAGGAGACTTTTTTTATTGATGACTTGAACACACCCTGCCCAGAAGCACCTCCAGGACACAGTGGCGCCTATGCGGAGAGGGACGGTGTCCTCCAGGACACAGTGGCGCCTGTGCGGAGAGGGACGGTGTCCTCCAGGACACAGTGGCGCCTGTGCGGAGAGGGACGGTGTCCTCCAGGACACAGTGGCGCCTGTGCGGAGAGGGACGGTGTCCTCCAGGACTCCGGGACACAGTGGCACCTGTGCGGAGGGGGACGGTGTCCTCCAGGACTCCGGGACACAGTGGCACCTGTGCGGAGGGGGACGGTGTCCTCCAGGACACAGTGGTGCCTGTGCGGAGGGGGACGGTGTCCTCCAGGACACAGTGGCGCCTGTGCGGAGAGGGACGGTGTCCTCCAGGACTCCGGGACACAGTGGCGCCTGTGCGGAGAGGGACGGTGTCCTCCAGGACTCCGGGACACAGTGGCGCCTGTGCGGAGAGGGACGGTGTCCTCCAGGACTCCGGGACACAGTGGCACCTGTGCGGAGGGGGACGGTGTCCTCCAGGACACAGTGGTGCCTGTGCGGAGGGGGACGGTGTCCTCCAGGACACAGTGGCGCCTGTGCGGAGAGGGACGGTGTCCTCCAGGACTCCGGGACACAGTGGCGCCTGTGCGGAGAGGGACGGTGTCCTCCAGGACACAGTGGCACCTGTGCGGAGAGGGACGGTGTCCTCCAGGACTCCGGGACGCAGTGGCGCCTGTGCGGAGGGGGACGGTGTCCTCCAGGACTCCGGGACACAGTGGCACCTGTGCGGAGGGGGACGGTGTCCTCCAGGACACAGTGGCGCCTGTGCGGAGAGGGACGGTGTCCTCCAGGACTCCGGGACACAGTGGCGCCTGTGCGGAGAGGGACGGTGTCCTCCAGGACACAGTGGCGCCTGTGCGGAGAGGGACGGTGTCCTCCAGGACTCCGGGACACAGTGGCGCCTGTGCGGAGAGGGACGTGTCCTCCAGGACTCCGGGACGCAGTGGCGCCTGTGCGGAGGGGGACGGTGTCCTCCAGGACTCCGGGACGCAGTGGCACCTGTGCGGAGGGGGACGGTGTCCTCCAGGACTCCGGGACACAGTGGCACCTGTGCGGAGGGGGACGGTGTCCTCCAGGACTCCGGGACACAGTGGCACCTGTGCGGAGAGGGACGGTGTCCTCCAGGACTCCGGGACACAGTGGCACCTGTGCGGAGGGGGACGGTGTCCTCCAGGACACAGTGGCGCCTGTGCGGAGAGGGACGGTGTCCTCCAGGACTCCGGGACACAGTGGCGCCTGTGCGGAGAGGGACGGTGTCCTCCAGGACACAGTGGCGCCTGTGCGGAGAGGGACGGTGTCCTCCAGGACTCCGGGACGCAGTGGCGCCTGTGCGGAGAGGGACGGTGTCCTCCAGGACTCCGGGACGCAGTGGCGCCTGTGCGGAGAGGGACGGTGTCCTCCAGGACACAGTGGCACCTGTGCGGAGAGGGACGGTGTCCTCCAGGACTCCGGGACACAGTGGCACCTGTGCGGAGGGGGACGGTGTCCTCCAGGACTCCGGGACGCAGTGGCGCCTGTGCGGAGAGGGACGGTGTCCTCCAGGACACAGTGGCACCTGTGCGGAGAGGGACGGTGTCCTCCAGGACACAGTGGCGCCTGTGCGGAGAGGGACGGTGTCCTCCAGGACTCCGGGACACAGTGGCGCCTGTGCGGAGAGGGACGGTGTCCTCCAGGACACAGTGGCGCCTGTGCGGAGAGGGACGGTGTCCTCCAGGACTCCGGGACGCAGTGGCGCCTGTGCGGAGAGGGACGGTGTCCTCCAGGACTCCGGGACGCAGTGGCGCCTGTGCGGAGAGGGACGGTGTCCTCCAGGACACAGTGGCACCTGTGCGGAGAGGGACGGTGTCCTCCAGGACTCCGGGACGCAGTGGCGCCTGTGCGGAGGGGGACGGTGTCCTCCAGGACTCCGGGACACAGTGGCACCTGTGCGGAGAGGGACGGTGTCCTCCAGGACTCCGGGACACAGTGGCGCCTGTGCGGAGAGGGACGGTGTCCTCCAGGACTCCGGGACACAGTGGCGCCTGTGCGGAGAGGGACGGTGTCCTCCAGGACACAGTGGCACCTGTGCGGAGAGGGACGGTGTCCTCCAGGACACAGTGGCGCCTGTGCGGAGAGGGACGGTGTCCTCCAGGACGCAGTGGCGCCTGTGCGGAGGGGGACGGTGTCCTCCAGGACTCCGGGACGCAGTGGCGCCTGTGAGAAGCCTCCAAAGTCTCGAGAATGTGGTACGTAGGGCCGTATCTTTGCTACTCGTTGCCCAGTGGTGCTCAGGACCACGTGCCCTCAGGAAGTCCGGCCAAGTGACGCTGGCCGAGAAGCAGTGCTGCCGACGGTGCTGACGTGCGGTACTTAATGAGAAGTTGCCCGTGTTGTTTTCGCTTTATTTGTGACGAAACATTCGCGGTGCACTTCTTTTTCAGTATCCTATTCCGCCTGGAAGACGTCTTGGTTCGGGTGCCAAGTTCAGGCAAGGCACATGGGCCCCTGCAGTACATGCTGGTCAGGACTTCCCCACCCCGTGTCTTTTCTCCCTCCCTCAATTTTCCCTGGTTTTTCTTGTGAAAGCTCCCTCTCCCTGCCGTGGGCTTAGCTTGCATTGACCCTTCCCCACTTCCTCCACCAGCCCGGGCTTTAGTGAATCTCTTGATCTCTTCTTTGCCACTGTAATTGCTTCGAGGAGGGGCCCTTGATACCACCGGGCCAGTGAGATGCAAGGAGATGTTTGCTGGAGCTTCTGGGAAAGAAACTCTCTGTCCCTTTCCTATGATAGCTTCAGCTGGGAATAGAGGGAGCTTCAATGGAAGTTTTGAAGGTCCCGCAGCCATCTAAGGACTAAGAGGAGCCCGCTTGGTGCCACACAGACAAGGAAGACGGAGTCTGCAGCATGAAAGACATCTCGGAGAGCTGCAGGAGAGTCTGGATGATATCATTTGAGTCCCTAGATCAAACCGTGCCTGAAGCTTGCTCTGCCTCTGTACTTTTCAGTTATGTAAGTCTATACATCCCTTACTTTTTAAAGCCAGTTTGAGTTAGATTTTACCTTATTTGCCATACAAACAGATGACACCACAGTGTGTTTTCCAGCATGACTGGGAAAACCTGCATTTTTTTGATGATGTATTTCTCATGGTTTGCCTGTCTATCTTCAGCTTCCAGTTTAAGGCAGGGTCTCAGTGAAAGGTGACTTTTCTTGCTGGCTGGGCGTGGTGGCTCACGCCTTTAATCCCAGCACTTTGGGAGACCGAGGCGGGTAAATCATGAGGTCAAGAGTTCAAGATTAGCCTGGCCAACATGGTGAAACCTGTCTCTGCTAAAAAAATACAAAAAAATTAGCTGGGAATGGTAGCGCAATACCTGTAGTCCCAGCTACTTGGGAGGCTGAGGCAGGAGAATCACTTGAACACAGGAGGTGGAGGTTGCAAGGAGCCAAGATCGCGACATTGCACTCCAGCTTGGGCAGCAGAGTGAGACTTCATCTCAGGGGGGTAAAAAGGTGCCTTTCCTTATGGATGTCTGCTTTCAAAACTTGTCCTGGTGATTTGATTTATGGTTGACAAATGATGCAGAATTACTGTGTTTCTGTGTTTTGTATCCAGTGACGGGTCATGGGGTCCTCTCCAGCGGCCTGAAGGATGGTGGGCCCCGAAACTTCTGTGCTGCTTTACTCCCTCGAACCCACCTCCTCCTGGGAGGCCACCCTGCAAGTGATGGGAACTTGGGGAAGCTATTGTCCTTTCCTGGTCCCTGCTGTGGCTTTGCTATATTTGTCACAGCTTACACACAACTGTCAGTGCTTTAGAACCAAGCCATGCCTCCAGGGAACCAGGAGCACTTGAGGGAGGGGACATGGGGTCAGGGTCATGCAAGGTGCACAGACAGTTGGGTCCACAGAGAGTCGGTGCGGCTCGGTGATTCGTTTCTCCTAATTTGCTACCCTCCTGTTCGCATCTCTGAAGAGGAGGGCTTCCCGGAACTACCGTTTTTGGGTCCAGGACCATCCCGTTTTCTCTGAAGTGATGCTCTCCACGAGCATTGCGGGATTGATAGTGGATGTTCTGAAACCCGTCTGCTCCGATTATTGAATTCTGCCCATGGAGACTTCCTGGGGCTCTGAAGGAGAGGGAATCTGGGATGGGTTTGCTTTATCCATGATGACTGTTCGCCTCTGCTCAGGGTCAGGCCAGCCCTTCCCACATGCCCCCACCTCCTCCAGGGGCACCCACATCTGATGCTTTCAGGCTTAATTGAGCATAAGTTTGATTGGCAGTGTCTTCCTGGCCCTGCCCTCATGCCCTGACCCTCAGTGTCCCTTCACGCCCAGGTGTGCTGCTGGCGGGGAGGACGTGCTCGTCTCTGGTACCTGAAAAGAAGTTGCCCATGTTATTTTCGCTTTATATGTGACGAAACAAACATGGTGCACTTCTTTTTCGGTATCAAATCTCTCCTTGAAGAGCCCCCATCCCTGATGGGACCCCTGAGCATGGGACCTGGGGTTCCCACCTCTCTTGGTACGTACATGGAGAATTTGTCCCGGCAGCCCCTCGGTGACTCTGCATGTTGCTGGGCACAGGGACCATGCTCAGTCCTCGGTCCACGCCCACCTCTCAGAACAGTGCAGTTGGTGAGGCCTCAGTCACATGCCAGCTCTGCTGCCAGGGAGGCTGGGGAGTTGGCAAATGCTGTGTTCCCCCAGCATTTGAGAAGAGTTCAGATCATAGCAGCTGAGAAAATAAATAAATAAATAGGGGCTGGGCACAGTGGCTCACGCCTGTAATCCCAGCACTTTGGGAGGCCTAGGTGGGAGGATCACCTGAGGTCTGGAGTTGGAGACCAGCCTGATCAACATGGAGAAACCCCATCTCTGCCAAAAATACAAAATTAGCCGGGCATGGTGGCGCACGCCTGTAATCCCAGCTACTTGGGAGGCTGAGGCAGGAGAATCGCTTGAACCTGGGAGGCGGAGGTTGCAGTGAGCCGAGATCACGCCATTGCACTCCAGCCTGGGTAACAAGAGCGAAACTGTCTCAAAAAAAATTATATAAATAAATAAATAAAAGGAAGCAGCTGCCACAACAAGAAAAACAGAGAAGCAGCAAAGATCACCCACCCGATGCACGGAGGGGACGTGAGGGCGGGCCACCTGCTGGACTGCCGCCCGAACCCCCACAGGAGGACTGACTGGGGCAGCAACAGAGGCAGGAGGCGGTGGGCAGGAGGCGGTGGGAGAGGATTTATCAGAGTGGTGATTGGCTGGAGGCGAATCCTTCCAGCTCTACTCTTTCCAAGTGCCAATGCTGCTGTGAGACACGTGCTCCTTGGTCACCAACAGCAGAGAGACGTCGGTGTCTGCCTCCAGTTAGCAGCAGTGAACAGTGGCAGATGGCAGAACGCACGCCTCCTCGAAGACACGGCTGTCCGGGTGTCCGGTCCCCACGTCCAGTTGGTCCTTGGGCCATCTTCCTGGAGGAGGGGCCTTGGTCCTGGAAGAGAAGAGATGTTTTCCCAGTGTATTCGTTGTGTTTGTGACGGGCCACTCTTGGCCACGCTCTTTTCTGTATTAAATTCCACTTGATGGCAGAGGCTGTTTGAGCTGGGAGCTTTAGTCCGCAGCTCTCTGGGGTGGCTGATGGGTGTTGCCCAGAGAGCCTGCATGGCAGCTCCATGGCCACCTGGTCCTCTGAGCCTCAACATCCCTCTCCCCTAGGAGGGTTTCCTGGAGCTCTGCCAGCCGGAATTAGAGGCTGTGGGATTGCTGTCTGGGCTACACTTTGGTAAGAGGGAGAGGTTGTCTGTGGTTCTTCCCTTTATTTACAATGAAAAATGTGGCGCACTTCTATTTGAGAATCAGGTGCCATCAGCAAAGCCCAGATCCCACTTCTGGGAGGTGATGGTAACGGTGGTCCATTGGTGGCACTGAGACTGTGCTGGCCTCAGCAGATGCCCTTTGGACAGCGGGCGGCTGTTCCACCCACCCCCTGGGCTCTATCCTCCCTCCAGAGATCCTTCCGGTGGCAGAAACACCTTTGGAGAAGCAGCGGCAGTATTCATGTCAGGAAATTTCATCGAGAAAGGTGGTCCAAGCTGTGGCCTGCACAGGCAACCCATTTTACTGATTTGAATGCCACCCTTCTAAAAGATGGGGTGCCCACATCAGGGAAGATGTAGCTGTGGGAGCAGAAGGCAGGCCACACAGTCTGTACACACAGGCTCATGGACCCTGAGCCTGAGGACCTCTGGAGGGGCCACTGGTCCTGAGTCCCCCGTGGAAGGGGAAGCATAGTTGTCCGATGACATGACATGGACAGTTCTCTTTCCACCAGAGCCTCGTCTCCCCTTGAGGAGGGCCTCTGCTCTCTGCTGCTTATGTCAGGGGAGAGTCACTGTTGCCTCCACCAGCTCAGGTACGTGAGAGGGGGGCCTCGAGGAGAGGTTGAGTCTCCGGTGGTGCCTGTCTCTGTGTGTTAGTCCTTTCCGGCTGTTCCCTTCCAGGAGGACCCCACGGCTCCCAGAAGAGAGACAGGACTGCAGAAGCTGGCCAGGAAGGGTTGGAGGAGGCTGCTGGTGATAGGTTCACTCGGCGTGTGGCAGATAGCCCGCAGTGGGTCTCCTAAAGCACTGAAGGCCTCCTTGAGGGACTCGCCGTACATGGTGTCAAGTTCAGGAACGCGACGTGGGTGTCTGGCAGCCCCTCACCGAGGGTCTGTGCGCAGATGGTGGAACAGATGGCCAGCACTTGCCTTTATTTCTTCTTTTGAGAACTGAGAAGTTATTGAATGAATCACCATATAATCCTGTTTCCTAAGGTAAATCTATACGTAAAACGTCAGGTCCTACACCACCATTTTCTTCTTAAGAAGTGAACACAGAAGTGTGACACAGTTTTCGGGTTTTTAGAAGAATGTCAAAATAGACAGTCTTGTCTCTTGATTCCCAAAGCTTAAACTCTAAAAGAATAGGGAAAACACCGGAAAGAAAATTGGCCACTATGTGAGGAGGGTGGGAGGTTTTATGAATACATGGTAGGCATGCTGACGTTTTAGTATGTAACTTATTTTAATATGTTTATTCTAACATCAATTTACTTAAAAAATAACGGCCAAGGCTGGGCGTGGTGGCTCACGCCTGTAATCCCAGCACTTTGGGAGGCCAAGGCAGGTGGATCACCTGGTCAGGAGTTCGAGACCAGCCAGACCAACATGGTGAAACCCTGTCTCTACCAAAAATACAAAATTAGCCGGGCACAGTGGCGCATGCCTGTAATCCCAGCTACTTAGGAGGCTGAGGCCCAAGAATTGCTTGAACCTGGGAGGCGGAGGTTGCAGTGAGTTGAGATGGCGCCACTGCACTCCAGTATCTCAAAACAAACCAACAACAGCAAAGAAATGGCAAATGTCTGTTGGCTTGGGAAAGTTAGAATTTCTGGATTTTCCCAGAAAGGGAGACTGCAGGTCTCTGATCAGCCTTCAGACCTGGCGTCCCGTCTCCTGCCTGATGGGTGCGGAGTTCCCCAGACTCCCCAGGGCGTGATGCCTGGCTTAGCTTTATCTTTCTTTTTCTGACAGAGTTTTTGCTCTTGTTGCCCAGCCTGGGTACCCTAGCCAGGCCCCTCAGGGAGGAACGGCAGCCCCTCAGAAGACACAGCGTGTGGGCTGACCTTTCTCCCAGCACGTGGCAAGCAGAGTTCCGTAACTGGCTGCTGCACCTATCCCAGCTCTTCCAGGCTGCCTGTGTTTCAATGACCAAAGTAAGACCCCCAAGCCCTGCCAGGAGCTGCTCTTCAACCGCGTGTCCTCCTCATTCAGGGCCATCCCAGCGAGGTCTACTCCTGGGGACGTGAATGATGTCTGGTCACAAAGAATATATGTTTATGACTCAGACCGTCCAATTCCCTAACCAGCCACGTCCCACTGGTTCTCAACAGGGCCTCGTAGAGGCAGCCCCCACCTGGGGGAAGTGGCCTTGCTCCGGCTGGCACGTGCTTGTCCATATAGATTGTCTATATAGATTCGCCGTATTTATGACAAATTGTGCTTGGGGGCTTCGGGGGAGGCTCAGCAAGCTGTGACTGCAGGGGACGGACTGGCTGATGGCACACAGTGGTGTTATCTGGGCCGCTCGTGATTCGCTTGCCCATAGGAGGAATGCCTAACTCTGCAAGTGTGAGAGGTCGTGCTTTTCAAGTCCGAGATTTTTTTGAAGCAATACCAGCTTTAGAGAATTGAGACTGGTGTAGGTGTGTGGAGTGTGGATGGGGGGTTGGCCGTGGCGCATACACTTTCCTTGTGGAGAATGTCACCCGGTCCTCAGTACTGAATCTGTTTTTGGGGGCTCCCTGGAGTGATGGCATCCCTGTGGGAAAGGGTTTGAGTCTGGGTCATCAGGGGTTTGCTTTTGCTTTGGGAGGTATGTCACTATCTAGTAAGCCTCTACATCCAGCCCACCCCAAAAATGATTTTTCTGGAAGCTGCCATAATTGTTTTTGGAGGGTGGCAGTGGTAGGGGCTGGTGGACACCGTTTTGCTGTCTCTCTGTTGTATTTAAAGAGACATTGTTTTTCACCTGTTTGCCTATTCCTCAGTCTGTCACACCGACATGATCAGTTCTGCTGATTGAAAGTTCCTGAACACAAGCTTCACTTTCTAGAAGATTCTTGGAGATCCTCCTCCCTCCAAGGTATGTGAAGGATGCTCCAGCATACACTGCTGCATGGTGTTGGCCATCAGGTGCCTTGGGAGGGCTTCATGGAGGCGGTGCTCACTTTAGGAACCTGGCAGGCTTTTTCTCTTTTTGATGTATTTGGAATTTGAAGCATAGAACCCCTACTTCGCCTGCATTACTGCAAATTTTTGATGTACATTCACTTTTTTATTTTTCAGAAATAAATACTACTTTGGAAATGCTCTTGACCGTGAAATCTCCATTAGGGAAGAGACATTAGGGTTACCTCCACCAGGGCGAGTGACAGCAGGCAGACCCCAAAGCTGCTGTGCCTGCGTAGGAGGTCCATCTCTGGATGTGAAGAAGCCGGGGCGGGCCCTGCGCTTCCCACACGAGACTCACAACGTGTTCACCTGCTTCCGTCACTTTCTGTCTTCGGTGAATTGTGTTTGGGTTTGTGCTCTCCAGGTGTGCTCCAACTTTTCGCCTCTAAAAGGTGGATGTTCCTTCTATGCTTACAGGATTGATGGTTAATCATAGAGGAAAATCCGCATTTTCAGAATCTAAAGTTGCTTTGAAAACATTTCTGAACATTTCTGAGAGAAAGGTTAGCTCCCACCCCCCACCCCTGCAGAGAGTGATGGAAGGTGAATCCCAGAACCTAAGCTCTTGTTAACAAAGTCTGTCCTGGGACACGGGTCCTCCGCAGGGCTCATGTCACTGCCACCAACCCAGGAGGCCCCTGCCGACTGCACCTGTCCTGTGCTGTCTTTAATCTTGATAGATGGTGCTTAGGTTCATGCTTTCCAGGACTCAATCCTTCTTTGGTATTTAAAAGGTGGATATTCCTTCTATGTTTATGTTGTTTGTGGTTAAACATAGAGGAAATTCCACGTTTTCAGTATCAAATGCTGCTTGGAAACATTCCTGGACTGAAACCACCATCAGGGAAGAGACAGTAAAGTTACCCCCCTCCAGGGTAAGTGGAAAGTCAGTGGACCCCAGAACATGTGCTGAATTTGTGCCATGTCTGTGGACCACCCGCCTGTCTTGAGGAGACCCCTGTCACGAGCCGCCCGCCCAGCCGAGCGGCTGAGCTCTGTCATCAGTCTCTCCATGGCGGCCAAACGCTCTGTCGTCAGCCTCTCCATGGCGGCCAAATGCTCTGTCGTCAGCCTCTCCATGGCGGCCAGATGCTCTCCTCTGTGCTATGACTTTGTGTGTACATAGGTTCGTGCTTTCTGGGATGAGAACTTCTTTGGTATTTAAAAGGTAGATTTTCCTTCTATGGTTACGTGTTTGGTGGTTAATCATAGAGGAAAATCCACGTTTTCAGTATCAAATGCTGCCTTGGGAACATGGCTGGACTGAAATCACCATCAGGGAAGCGAGGCGGGGCTGAGCCCTCCTGGGTAAGTGGAAAGGTGGTGGACCGCAGAACATGTGCTGAGTTCGTGCCATATGTCTGCTGACCATCACCTTTAGAAGCCCCCTTTCGCTGAGGAGCCAGCTTGGCGCACAGGCCGTGGAGCGCTGTGACGGCCACGCCACGGGACTGAGAACGAGTTGCTTTGCTGTCTTGCTTCCATTTTCCATGAACTGCTCTCAGATGTGTCCTTTCCAGAGCCCAGTCCTTCTTTGGTATTTAAAACGTGGATATTCCTTCTATGTTTACGTGATTCTTGGTTAATCATAGAGGAAAATCCATGTTTTCAGTATCAAATGCTGCTTTGGAAGTGTTTCCTGAAGAAACTGTAGGGCCTGAGTGGGTGCAGAGATGGTGGGCTGCACGACCCGCCCAGAACCATCTTGAGACACCAGCGAACATGGTGAAGATGAAATTGTGGGTCCTGCGGTTCCAGTTCTTTCGTGGAAGCTCGTCTGCCCCATGGGACTTCACTTCTGATGACTCAAGCACAGGTGTGCGTTTTCCTGGATGGAAGCCTTCTTTGGTATTTAAAAGGTAGATTCTCCTTCTATGAGTACATTATTTATGATTAATCATAGAGGAAAATCCACGTTTTCAGTATCAAATGCTGCTTTGAAAACCTCGGAGGACGTGAAGTTGCCATGGAAGAGGGGACGCTCTCTGTACCCCTCCCGGGGACAGGACGGACGGGCACAGAACTGTACTTTGTGTGAAATGCGCCGTCAGCTTCTCTGCTGTTCCCTCTCAACCCTCAACACATACATAATGTGTTGTTACAAGACTGTGTTCTCAGTATCACCTCGCTGACCTTGAACAAAGTATGTTCTCTGTGTGTTTAACCATGTTTGCGATGCGTTTTCTGGAACGAACCTCTTTTTCTGTGACTAGTTGTGCCTTAGAGAATACCCGAGTGGGCTGTCAGTTTCAGGAAGGGGCACAGCTTCAGGGGCTATGGAAAGAATAGATGTGCCGTTCACACCCTGGTGTGCGCTCCCACCCTGCGATCCCCTCTGTGTATCTCAGGCTTGCTCCTGGAGCTGGTGCCAACTTAGTCACAGTGAAGATGGCTCTCCTGTCACGGCCGTCATTTGCTGCTTGAGGAGAGGTAATCCCTCATGCATTTGCTTGACTTGCAATGGTTATACAAGGGCAAACTCTCTCTGGGGAGCAAATCCTGCCTGGGAAGGCTTTTTGGGAACAAGGCTGACTCTGGCAGTCAACAGAACTCACTCCTCTGTCCTACAGAGACCGCTGCCACTGTTGATGAGAATAAGAAAGCTCTGTTTTTTTTCTAAAAAAAAAAAAAAAAAAAAAAGATGGCCAGGATAGCCCTGGGGTGCGGATGGCTGACCGCAGGGCATGTGCCTCTTTCTTGCTGTTTGTGACCTGGTTCTCTGACCCTCCTCATCTCATGCGTCCTTCCAAGAACTTTCTGGAAGAGATGGTGACTTTGGAGCTGATGTAGGGTTTTCTTTTCAGAGTACCCATTCTGCTCAGAAAAAAGGGCCTCCCTTGGCCGGGCACGGTGGCTCATGCTTATAATCGTAGCACTTTGGGAGGCTGAGACTGTGGATTGCTTAAGCCTGGGAGTTCAAAAGTAGCCTGGGCAACTTGGAAAAACCCGGTCTCTGCAAAAAAATACAAACATTAGCCAGGCGTCATGGTGTGCGCCTGTGATTCCTGTACTCAGGAGGCTGAGGCTGGAGGATCACTTGAGTCTGGGAGTCAGGAGGTAGCAGTAAGCTGAGATCATGCCACTGCACTTCAGCCTGGCTGACAGAGTGAGACCCCTGTCTCAAGAAATAGATAAAAAAAAAAAACAAGCAAGAACAAAGGGCCTCCCTTGATGGGCCCTGCTCATCACAAAGCACCCGTGGGCTGCTGCTCTGGCAGGTCTGCCGAGGCATGAGGCCAGCCTCTGGGAAGAGGTCTTGGGGCTAGTGCCTCTCCCAGACACAGGAAAGAATGGTCATCGGCCAAGTCAGTGCAGAGTTTAGGTGTGGGTCATCTGGTCTACCCACTCTCTGTACCCAGCCCATCCTTGGAGGGACTTTTGGACCTCACTGTCCAGTTGAGGGAAGACCAGTCCACAGGAAGGAGGCCCCAGAGCGCCCAGTGTGGCTGCAGGACCTGCTGCTGGGACCTCTAAGCCTCACTGCTCTCTCTGCATGGGTGTTCTTTAGGGACCCCTGCCGATGGGAAGACCCTTGGATTCCCGATGTTAGTATCTGTTCACTCAGAAAGCGTTGGCCCCTGAGAGTCTCATTTTCTTTTGGAAAATCTTGCCCTAGATGAAAACTTTTGAGTGATGAGTAGCTGCTCAGGTGGCTTTCTGAATACAGTGCCAAATTCAGGAGAAAGGACACCTGTCATAGTGCTGTCTTGTGATTTGCAAATGGGTGGCTGATCACGGAGCGTGTTGGACTTCTGTTTCTCCTTTTTCTATAATGATGCATGTTATTGCATCTTCTAACCTCCCTTAGCCAGTGTTCACCAGGAGGACTTCCTGGAGGCAATGGCTTTGGGCAGAGGCAGAGGTTGTTCTCCCAGGGTGTTTCTGCAGGCCCTAAAGGGATTTCGGCTGTTTTACATTTACGTTATTTCAAATGGTACAGGATTGCCTGTTTTTGGTAGCCAATCCTGTCGAAAAGACATGCTGGGAAATAAAGCCAACTGTATGGCTGAAACACCAGCGTGCAAGGTGCAGGGCCCAGCTCTAGGTCAGCCGGATAAGGCTGGTCACTGGGCCCTCCCTCGCGGTCTCAGGCCTCGCAGGAGGACATGCCCACTCTGGCGAAGACCCGGCGCGGTCCTTCCCTGCTCTTTGAACAACTGTCTGAGCCACTCTTTGGTACTTGAAGAGAGGATACCCTTGTGTGTTCACTTGATTAATGGCGAATATACGGGGGAGACTCTTCTTTGCGTATCAAACTCTGTCGGGGAAGGCGCTTGGACCCCGCTCGTCTGCAGGACAAAGCCGCGAATCTCAGCTCCTCTCAGGTACGGCCTGGCTTCCCTGTCCGGGAACGTGAGCTTGGCTGTGATCCTGGCTCTTGGGTTCTGCCTCCGCCCTCAGTGCTGGTTCTTCTTGTGGACTCCCTGGAGGCAGTGGGAGAGGAGGGTTTTTCTGTGCACACCGACTTTATGGTGGTTTGCTTACTTAAGGATAAAACACACGTGGATCTGCCTCTCCTCGACACCAAGTCATACCCGGGAGGCTCCCTGCTTCCAGCACACACCTTGTACCTCTCTGGACACGTGGATGGGTGGTGGATGGTGGAGCACCGAGCTGTGCTGAGCTGATGCCGCTACTCACTTGCTGCTCCCCCGAGCTACCACTCCCTGGCAGTCTCCATCCCTGAGAGAGTGTCAGCCTTGAGGGAGGGACGTGGATGTCAGGCTGTTCTAAGGCAAGTGACTGGCAGAGCTTCTTTCCTGTGTCCTCTGGGACTGTCGCTGAACTCCAGCGGCCAGTCCTTGGAGCACATTGTCCGGTGGAGGCGCACCTGAGTGTGCCTCGGGTGGGTGGCAGTGTTTGGTCTTCAGGACTGCTTTGTCCCTAGAGTCTGACACTGGGGCCCTCTTTTTGTCTGTTTCGAGGCAGGTACGGGGACATATTCTTGGATCTGGTCATCTCGGAGACCACCAGCCTCAGAGGAGAGACAGTGTCTCAGCACTCTTCAGCTCTGGGAATGCCTGCAGATGCCTTCTTCTCTGGCAAGTCCATGTCTTCTGGGCTAAGCCCTCGCAGCCTGTGCCCCCACGGAGGTGATGGCTCCACTGTCCATGCAGCCTGTGGGTATTTGAAGCAGGTTCACCCATGCATGCTGAGTGCATTGATGGTCATGCCCACTCGCTCCCTTGTTTAGAAGCCAATCTCGCCTGCAGGGAATCCTGGATGTGCCACCTCTCAGGGCCAGGCCACAGCGTGCAAGGTGCAGGGCCCAGCTCTAGGTCAGCCGGATGAGGCTGGTCACCGGGCCCCTCCCTCACGGTCTCAGGCCTCGCAGGAGGACATGCCCACTCTGGCGAAGACCCGGCGCAGTCCTTCCCTGCTCTTTGAACAACTGTCTGAGCCACTCTTTGGTACTTGAAGAGAGGATACCCTTGTGTGTTCACTTGATTAATGGCGAATATACGGGGGAGACTCTTCTTTGCGTATCAAACTCTGTCGGGGAAGGCGCTCAGACCCCGCTCGTCTGCAGGACAAAGCCGTGGATCTCAGCTCCTCTCAGGTATGGCCTGGCTTCCCTGTCCGGAACGTGAACTTGGCTGTGACGCTGCTCCTGGGTTTTGCCTCCGCCCTCAGTGCTGGTTCTTCTTGTGGACTCCCTGGAGACACTGGGAGAGGAGGGATTATTTCGTGTGCACCGAGTTTAATCGTGGTTTGCTTTGCTAAGGATAAATCACATGTGGATCTGCCTCTTGTGGGCACCAGGTCATATCCAGGAGGCTTTCTTATCCTCAGCCTTAGAAGGAGACCTGGCTTTAGCACCATTTCAAGGGTAACACAGGAGTGGGGGTGGACCACAGAGCACTGGCTTTGTCTATGCTGTTTTTGATCCTGGTAGGCCATCTCCAGGAGGGCTTCCTGGGGGTGGTGTTGACCTTGGGGAAGGGGCTGAGGTGTGCTCATCGGTGCTCATCATGATGCTTGAGTGTTCATGGTCCAGCTTGCAGTTCCCAGGCTGAAACTGTAAGAGTGGTTTGTTTCTGTTTGTCATTTGTGATCACCCATGAAGGCACCGCTGGGGATGAGCCCTAGGAGCTGTCAGCCCTGCACCAGGTGCGTGAATGTGGGAGGTCAGAGGGCACCTCCTTCTGCCTCCATGTCTGTGCCCTCCCCTCTGACTGCTGGATTTCTGCTCACACCTAGGATGGCAGCCTGGGAAAGGGGCTGTGGTTCTGTGTTTGTGGAGACACTCCCTGGGGCGAGGGCTGCCAGCTTTTTACACCCTGATTGCCATGGGGGTCATCTGGAACCGAGGCCAGTTTCAGGAAGGGCCTTCGCAGAAGCCTCAGCCCTAGAAAAGTGAATGCCCTGCTGGAGACAGGTGAGCACCATGCCTGGGTAATGAGTCCCACCACCTGCCACCTGGACCAGGTGGCTCCCACTCCTCCCCACTTCTAGAGGGAGAGGCCACTGAGGGGAAAGGACTGTGGGTTGGCTTCCTCAGTTACTCAGGGGTACATGGTTTTGATGAATGTTGACCATGAGCTCTTTCTTAGCCTGGCTTCAGGACAGGGTGCCAGCCTCTGGCAAGGGTGGGGCAAGGGCTGGCATGGGGAGTGACACTGGTGTCAACGCCTCTGTGAGATGGGTGAAGGAATGGTGACCACAGGGTCTTTGCTTCATCAGGGGCATAAATTCATCCAATCTCTGGACCTCGGTGCTGAGTGCATCTGTAGGAAAACTTCCTGGAGAGGTGCCCACACTGGGGAGGAGATCGTAGTCCCACCCCAGGGAGTTCCCGTAGAAAGTGAGAAGCTGAGTTCTGTGTGTGCCCAGGAAGGCCCGTGGGATGGCTCTCCTTTTCAGGAACAAGTCCTAATCTGGAGTGATGCCTGGAAATGAGGCTGATTCTAGTGAAGGGGGGCTGGCATCTGCCCCTTCCTAGACCCCCTGGGATGGAGAGCTGACCGGTGGGCACACAGCCAGCAGGCGGTGTTTGCCACCTGGTCTGCTGATCCTGCGTCTCCCACCTCCCCCACCCAGGATGAACCCCGGGAGACAAGGCCGGCCCCGTGAATGATAGCAAGGAACCTGCCCAGTGCTCTTGTTTGGTACTTAAAGCGAGGTTGCCCTTTGTATATTCGGTTTATTGACATGCAATATACAAGGGCAAGCTCTCTGTGAGTATCAAACCTTGTCTTGGACCCAGCCCACACTCAGCAAGGGATGCGGTATGTGTGTGCATGACCGTGTGTATCCGTTTTGTGTGTGGCAAATCGCTCACGGGTCCCCACGTCACAGAGAGGACTTCACAGGCACATGAGAGACTTTAGGGAAGGCAGTGGCCTCTGGGACATCTCCTTTCCTGGTTAAGTGTGGGTGGGCTGAAAGCATGTACGACATGTGTGGTCTGGGTCCCTGCTTCCTGAGCGGGCAGTCACCAGCCTGGGCTGATGGCCGGGGTGGTGCCGGTGCAGGCAGTGGCTTTGCGGTCCCCGCTGGTACTCGGTATGTGAGTGTGCATGTTCTGCTTGGGGTGTGTGACCCGGTCCACTAACCCTCAGCATCTAATTCATCCCCAGGACCGTGCCTTGAAGACATACCAAGTCCACCCAAGGCAGCGGCTTTCCTTTCCGTGCTAACCTTTGGTACTTGGAGAGTGGTTATCCCTGTCCTGTTCGTTTTGCTCATGTCGAATCGTACAGGGTCATCCACTTTTTCAGTATCAAGAGCGCAGACTCTGGAGCCCGATTTCCTGTGTTTGGATCCCACCTCTGACATTTACTAACCGTGCGACCTTGGGCAAGGATCTCATCGTGCGGTGCCTGTGGTCTCACATGTCAAGGGGAGTCACATCGGCGTCTACCTCATGGGGCTGCCGGGGCTGAACCAGTTAAGACTTGTACATGGCTGGGAGCAGAGCCCGGTGGTCAGCGCTTCGCAGGCGTAGCCAGACCCTTGTGTGCTGTGACACTGTCATTGGTGGTGGTGGTGGTGGTCTGACCACTAAAATCTCTCCTTGAGGTGTTGGAACAATGTCAAGACAGGGAGGTCAAGTCCTTCGTCCGGTGTGGAACGGACTGTGAAGCCCCGAGCGTGCACCGTGTTGATGATGGGCATGGTGACACTCTTGATGCTTGGCAGCTAAGCTGTTCTCATGATGGCTTTCGAAACACAATGCCACATGCAGTCGGGGTCAGCAGGGGTGCCGAGAGCATTTTCTCTGTTTAAGAGAGACAGTCCCTGGATTCTTGACCTCGGCCGCTATCCACATGTTTAAGGACTCTTGAGCGAGGATGCCAAGCTGAATGAGGATTCTCTGACATCTTGCTTCCCTGGTGCTTAAAGAGAAGGTCACACGTGGTGCACGCATTGTGCCTGCCTGTGTGTGTGTGCGCACGTGCTGTGTGTGCATGAGCGCATGCGTGACTGGGTTTGCCACGTAGCAGTCACCATCCAACCTTGAGCCGAAGACCTGGAGGTGCTGGTGTTCCCGTCCGTGCCGCTGTTTCATACCTGAGGAGAAATTATCCTTGATGTGTTCGCTTTATTTATGATGAATCATACAAGGACAATTTCTCTTTGAGTATCAAATCCTGCCTCGGCAGACTTCCTGGACGCCATGACAAGTCTCTAAAGGGATGCACGCATCAGCCCTTCCCAGGGATCCACGCGTGGGTGGGGATGAGGGTGCGTGCAGTTGGTTTGCGCTGGGGACACTTGTGCCCTAACCTCAGAACCTCGGAGGCGGGACCAGCTTGGCAAGCGGCCACCGGGCTCCTTGGTGCTGCCAGGGATTTGTATTGGCCATGGGTGTGTGTTGTGGGTGACCCAGCGTTCAGGCGACTTATCAAATCCTGCTTCTTGGAGGCACTTCTTGGACATGAAGCCAAGCTTAGGGGCCGATCATTGGGGCCAGACCCCCTTTCCCTGCCTGAGAGTGTGCCCGACCCCCAGGCGTGGGCTTGACTCTCAGTGTGTGAAGCTGACCTGCTAATCCTCATTGTCTGGACTACCTGAGAAGAACTTTCTGGAAGAGACGCCAACTTTGGAGAATATGCCCAGCTCTTCTTGAAGGCGCTGTTCTTTGGTGCTTAAAGAATGGCTGTCCGTGGTATGGTCTCTCTATTTATGATGATTAATATCGGACAACCATTGTTTTAGTATCCAAATTTGCTTCAGAAATTTTTGAAAGCACAGTGCTGACTTCAGCGAGGGGACGTCGGTGCCTGCCCCACCATGGAGTGTGACTGTATTGCTGACCTGTAATCATGAATCCGGTGACCCCAGAATGCAAGCCACCAGTGTGTTTCCTTGGACTAATGCTAGCTTTGGGGTGGAGATGCCACTTAGGGGCTTGGTGCCATATCGTTTTATTGGAAGATGTTCACAATTATTTCATCTGTCTTTCTCTTCTTGTTATTAAATCTTAGCCAAGAGGAATTCCTTGGAGAGATGCCAGGGTCAAACATCTTTCTAGATGGATGGTGGACCTGGGCATCTAGGTCCAGTCTCTCCCATCTTTAGCCTTCATTCTGAGCGTGAGAGACTTCCTGTAGGGGATGCAAACGTTAGTAAAAACGCAGGACTTTTCCTGTTACTGCTACTGCTTTTTGGTAGCTCCTAAGCAGCTGCCTGTTGGGTGTTGGGATTATTCTTGGCGGATGGCTTCGTGACTTCCTTGGGAGCTGCCATATCTTAGACAGACTCTCATGGAGTAAGTTGTGATGGACAGCACCTCTGGCGTGTGTGTGTGTGTGTGTGTGCGCGCGCACAGGCGTGCATATGAATTGTTGGCTAGAGTAGTGTTTCTCAGACTTTAAAAATGCTCCTAAGATTTTCATCACCTAGGGATCTTGTTAAAAAGCAGATTCTGATTCAGGGACCAAGATTCTGCATTTTTAGCAAGTTCTCAAGTGATGCTAATGCCGCCGGTCTGTGGACTTCCCTCGCAGCGGTTCAGGGCTGGAGAGCAGGCGCTTCCCTTGTGAGGCGTGTCCCCTGTCTCCCCACACGCCATATGCCGTCCTTCACGAGAGCATGGCTCAGCATCAACCTGCCGCGCTTCTGTTTGTGAACAAAGGTTATCTGTGACGGGCTCACCTTCACATGCATAAGTATCATGAGATGATTCTTTTTTAAAATCAAATCATGCCTCAAAGGGCTTCCTGGATACAGGACCTGCCTCAGGGAGGGGCCGATGGTGTCGACCTACTGCAGGGAGTGTCGGGTGTGAGTCAACAGTGAGCTTAGCATTATTGATGTCCTGGGAATCCTGTGACCCTCCACTTCCAGGCAGTCCTCGGGAGGAAATTCCAGGAACTGAGACCATCTTTGAGGTAGGGACCCTGTCTTCAGGGATCAGTGACACCCCGTTTTATCGGAAGCAGAATTCTTCATGATGGCCCTGCTGTCTCTGACGTGTGTTTGTCTGCTGCCTTCTCGTCATCGAATCCCATCTTTCGGGAACCCCTGGAGGCGGCTTTTCTATCGTTTTAACAGAACCTGCCTTAGAAGTCTTTCTGAGCATGGTTCCAATGGCAGACTTTGGATTTCGGTGTCGGAGCCGTCCGGGCTCTGAGACTGACGTGTGGGAAGGGATGGCTGACGCCAGCTCCTGTGCTTTCTCTGCAGGATGCGAGCACCTCCCTCCCAACCCTGGGATTCAGCTCATCCTGAGAAGAATCTCCTGGAGGCAAAGACAGCGGTGGGGAAGAGGCCCTGGTTTCGTTTGAGAACTATTCGAGGATATTTGAGGAGAGGTTATCCGTGTTATGTTCGCTTCATTCGTCATGAATAATACATGGTTAACCTCTTTTTGAATATCAGACTCTGCCTCGGAGGCCACCCCACAGGAGACGTGAGAGTGTGTGCCTTGTGTGAGCTGAGAGCCCCCGCCCCGGCTCCGCGCTCCGGCAGGGAAGCTTCCTGGAAGTGAGGCCGGTGGGGGGAAGAGCCCTGGGTTGCTTTGCTGTGTTTGCTGTGAACGCGATGTGCTTTCGCTATTTAAATGAGGTGGCCTCCTCTTTGCCAACCTGTGCCTACCCCCAGCAGCTGGGCCTGCAGCCTAGCTACAGGGCTAGGTCCCGCCTTGGGATGGACCCTCTGGACCCAGTGCTTTCAGGGTGGCTTTCTGGGGTGAGGACAGGGTTTACTGCTCCACTGGGACACCTGTGGAGAGGTGACTTCCTCCATGTGGACTCCTCTGAGGACAGTCTGTTTTCCAGGCTTGGATCTGGCCCGGGGTGGCTCCCTGGGTGAAGCTAACACCTCCGCAGGTGTGCGCAGGGCAGGCTGACTTGGGCTCTGTTCCTGCTCCTCACCCAGGTTACTGGCCCAGTGCCCACTTCCTCCTCAAGTCAGCTTCCTGAGGCTCTGCCAGCCGGCCTGGTGGGGTCTCCTGTTCCTCTGCTTGGCGCTCAAAGACACTGGCACAGTGCCAGGTTCCCTTTGCTCCCTCCTGAGGGAGACCACGCAGCTAATGACTCTGGCTCTGTGCTGCTGCCTCGGAGGGCTTCCTGCACTCAGCACCCAGTTTGGGAGGAGAACATGGACTCTAGCATATCCCCCGGTGATGGAGAAGGGAGGCTGTCCCTGATCCCCAGTGTGGTGGATGATATGGTTTGGCGATGTCCCCACCCAAATCTCGTCTTGAATTCCCATGTGTTGTGGGAGGGTCCTGGTGGGAGGTAATTGAATCATGGGAGCGGGTCTCTCCCGTGATAGTGAATAAGTCTCACGCGATCTGATGGTTTATAAGGGGGAGTTTCCCTGCACAAGCTCTCTCTCTGCCTGCTGCCATCACGTAAGCCTGACTTGCTCCTCCTCACCTTCTGCCATGACTGAGGCCTCCCCAACCACGTGGAACTGTGAGTCTGATTAAACCTCTTTCTTTTGTAAATTACCCCATCTCGGGTATGTCTTTATCAGCAGCATGAAAACGGTCTAAGAAAGTGGAGGACCGTGGCGCCAGGCTCCGGCCCCTTCAGGATGTGGTCCCTGTGTGGGACAGCCTCCCGGAGCGGCTATAAAACCTTACTGCCCTCTGCCTCGATGGCTTTGTCCTACCTGAGGAGGCCAGCGTGCTGGGGTCCCTGCGTGGAGTCAGTTCAGGATGGATGCCGCAGGTGCTAGCTTTACAGTAAGAAAACTGTCAGCTTCGCCTGACGTATATGCACAGAGGTGACGCAGGGACGTGAACTTTGTGAATGAATGTGCTCCCTGCACCACTGACCCAGAGAATTCATCCCGCCCTCAGGAGAAGCCCGGGAGGTGCTGCAGGCTCTGGCCGGGGGCGGAGGCCGCTGTCCTTAGTGTCGTGGCGTAGGGCTTGCTGAGGAACCGACAGAGTGCTCCTGTGTTGTTTGTGACTAAGACCACACATTCCTGTGCGGTGGGAGAATGTGTGGGGGTGTCCCACAGCCAGAGTGGAGACTTGTGTCGGCACCATGATGAGGTACCTGGGAAGGGTCTGCTGACGATGCCCAGTGTCTGCTGGTCTGAGCAGCTCGTCCTCGGAGGACTTCTGGGCAAGACTATTTCAGTGCTCAGCCCCACTCCGTGTCCCAGGAAGAGGGAGGGCTGGATTGATGATACCTATTAAATGGCCCATAAGTTCTCATCATCCATGCAGCCTGCCTGTGAGGGCCCCCACAGAAGGGAGGGCAACTCCAGGGAAGGGATCCTGCCATCAGCTCCAGGTCACAGTCCAGGAGGTGCTGCTGGGCCAGAGGCCAAAGGGCAAACTGTCGAGCCAGGTCACAGGCTTCCCTTGTCCTTGACCCTCAGTATCCAGGCTACTTACAAGAGGAGGCAGGGGGACTCCTCTGCCTCACCTGGAGAGGTCTTGTCCACAGCAGGTTCCCTCAACAATGCTTCCTCTGTTACAAATGCAACTCAGCATCTCCTTCCTGGACATAATTGCAAGGAATTATTAAAGGGGACATTGGTGTCAGTGCCTCCCCAAATACTTGAAAGAATGGCCCATGGCAGAGCCTGTGCTTTCATTAGGAGTAAGCCTCACAGTCCCCCAAGCTGTGGCCTCCAGGTTCTGGAGGCCTCGGGGGCAGAGCAGCGCCGAGGCTGACCTTGGGGCCTTGCCTGGGTTTGTGGCTCATCATGTTGGACTGCTGTTTTTCAGGACAGACTTCCTGGACAGGTTCCTCAGCAGGACTCTGACCTAGGGACAGGGCCCTGTACGTGATAGGGGAATGGATGGTTGATCAGAGAACGTGCATTTTACAAACGATGCATGTCAACTGATCCACAGTCCCTACCTATCCAGTGACTTCTCTGGAGGCCACATCAGCCCGGAAGAAGAGGTGGTGGTTTCCTGGGTGGTACTGTTATCTGGCACTTGCAAGGACCTTCTCCTTGCTGGGTTTGCTTTCTCTGTGCTGAGTCTCATGAGGGAGGGCAGGTGCCTTTTTTGCATATGGATCTTGCTGGGGAAGCTTTCTGGAAGGCATTCTTGCCCTTTGCCCCTCTCTAGGGGTAGGAATGCATGGTTGGCTTGACTGACAGTGTGCACCCCTCGACTCTCCTAACCTGTCCCCAATTCATCCTCAGGCAGACTAGCTGGAGGGAAGGCGGACTCTGGTGAAGATGTGGGCCGTCAGCATCGGGCTTCGGTACTTGAAGAGTGGTTATCCCTGCTGTGTTCGCTTTATTTATGACGAATCATACAGGGACATCCAGTTTTTCAGTATCAAATACTGCTTTGGAGGGCCTCCCGGACAGCGTCCCGCCTTCAGGGAGGAGGTCCTGGCTTCACTTCCCACCCAAGGTATGTATGTGAACCTCCCATCGCAGTGCACGAGCTTCCTCACGTGCCACACCTGTGACCAGAGTCGATTCTCTGAGCAAGGTGGCTGCTTCCAAGGCTGTGATTTTCTGGAAGGGGCGTTGGTGTCTGCACCACATTTTGGGGGAGGTTGACCAGTGAGAAGCCCATTCACACAAGACGTCTGTTGCCTGCTCCAAGTGATGCTCACCCTTGATAAGACGAGTCCCTGGAGACATGCTGGTGACGCAGTGTGATTGTCACCAGCAGGACTGACTGATACTGAATGGGTCATCGTTATTGCATTTGTTCTAGGGCAGACTTCTTGAGTGTCGTGTCTTGGCGGGGAAGGGTTTCTGGAAGTAGCCCCAACCTCTGGGGAGACGTGGCATCCACGTCTTTTCGAGTCTGTGGAGAGTTCGTTGAGCAGTCCGAGCTTTGTTCCGAGGCATCTTCCTCTGGTCACTCTCCCACAGGAGTCCCGTGTCCTGCCTGGGGCCAGAACTGCTGTTGAGAGGGTTGGCTGCTTTGACCACCATGGTTTTTTTTAATAAGACTCTCTTTAAAAAAAAAAATCCGATTCTTTTGTTTTTAGCATAACCGCGTGGTTCATGGATGGATCAAATAGCAAGGAACGCCTCGGCCATTCCATAAACTGAGGGAGCGCACGCTCTACTCCAGGCGATTCTGGACCTTAGCACAGAGCAGTGCATGAATCAAGTCCTTGCTCACATGGACTTTACATGCTGGTGGAAGAGACGGTTGATAACATGAATTAGGAAACCTGATTTTGTCCACTGCTAGATTTATGGAGAATGGGAAGGCGGGGTACAGTGACAGAAAGAGGTAAAAGCAGGTGGACATTTGTGTTAAATATGGGGGTCTGGAAAGCTCTCTCTGAGGATGGGGATGGGAATGCAGTGGAGTGGACCAGAGGAAGATCTGGGGTAGGAGCACTTCAGAAGGAGGGCAGGGCCCATGAAGAGGCCCCTGGCATCTTTAAGAAAAAGCAAGAAGGCCAGTGTGATTGAACTGAGTGAGCTGTTGGGAGTTGCTGGATCTGAGCTGGGAGAGGCACGACTCCAGGTTTTATTCTGAGTGGGATGGGGGATATGAAAGGGTTTTGAGCAGCGGGGGGATACATGGTCTGTGTTGGAAGGATCACTCTGACCACAAGGGTGTTGATAGAGACTCCACCAAGGGCAGTGACAGGGAACCCACCAGGGGGCTGGCGTGCCTGAGCCAGGCAGTCTCTCCAGGGGCACCTGCAGTGGCAAAAGGGGGCTGTCTCTGGACCTCCCCAGTTCCGTGGGCCCTGCGGGAGCTTGGCCAGCACCTTGATGTGTCTGATGGATAATTGAGAGTGCTCTGTTGAGAAGTCCAAGCCCTGTTCAGAAACCCCGGGGTCCACACACCACAGAGTGCTCCTGGCCTGCGACAAGTGGCCTCCCTCTTCTCATTTCTAAACCTTGCGCGTGTGGATTCAACTCCAGGGAAGGGAGCCTGTGCCAGCACCCCTCCAGGGGAGGTGAGTGGAGGGTTGCCCAGACTCCAGGGTGTTCCTGGGTCATCTGCCAGCTGCCTCACTAATGCTCGGTGTCCACTCTGTCCACAGGATGTGGTTGGCAGCCACGGCCCTTGGAGATGTGGAAGGGGACCGCTGTCTGTCTTGTCTCTGCTTTGCCGTGGTACTTGAAGAGAAGTTGTTCGTGGTGGATTCGCTTTACTTATGACGAATCATTCACGGACAACACTTTTTTCAGTACCAAATGCTACCTCTAAGGACTTCCTGGACACAATGGCAGCTTCAAGAAAAATAGTTTTTGTGTCAACCATGTGGAAAAGCCAAGAATGGATGGCGGGCCACGGACAGTGCACTGACCTAGCTGTAAGTCACCTGGCCCGATTACCCGAGCATCCCATGCGCCTGTAGGAGGCCTTTCCGTGGGTCTCGCCACCACTGGGGAATCAGCTGTGCTTCTGTCACCAGCGTCACCTCACAAGACTTTGAAGAGAGGCTCCCCAGGCCCCAGACCGACTTCCAGAAGAGATGTTGGTGTCAGCACCGTCCAGGGTGTGTGACTGGTTGACCAGAGGGGCGTGCACTGTGTTCACCCTGTGGGCCACCTAGTCACCAACCCTCAGCATCACTCCCACCCCAGGAAGACTTTCCAGAGCACCCACCAACTCTGGGGAAGTGGCCATGGACTTGCCGTGGCTGCTTGGAGCACCGGGATGACACGTGCTCTTGGGGGTGTGCATTTAGTTCAAATGCAATGAGTCAGCCCTGTAGCTTCTTCACCACTGCCACAGCCTCCTTGAAGCAGTGACTTCTGACGATATTGGATGCCATGTTATCTTCTGTTGAGGGACCTGATGCTGGCCAGCTTTTCTCCCGGGTGTGTGACTGGACCCTTCTTCCCACAGCATGTGCTGGTGTATTGGGTCTGTCACCTCGCCCTCTAATACCCAGCATCCTGTCTCTCCCTAGGAGGCTCCATGGAGGGGATGTGGCTGTGGGAAGCAGCCATGATTCTCCTGTCGAGAGCTAGCGAGCTATGCAATGGCTTCCTCTCTTGACCGGGAGGACGAACTCCACCCTCACTGCTGGGGAGAAGGCAGCGCCCTCCGTACGCCCTTCAGGTAAGTGCGCCTCGGGTGAGCATGCACTTAATGTGGGTGTATGTCACTCGGCTCGGCCCACTACCCAACGCTGTCCCACCCGTTCCTAACAGGACTCCTGACAGGGGCGGCCACCTCTGCACGACAGGCAATGGATTTCTCACCAGTGCTCACTATGGTACTTGGAGAGAGGCTGGCCGTGATGAATTCGATCCTTCAAAGCGAGTCATACACGGCTCTCCTCTCTTTTAGTGTCAGATTCTGCCTCGGAGGGCTTCCTGCGCCAGTGCTGCCTCCCAGGTAGGTTTCTGGATGTCTGAACCTGAGGCAGGTGCTTTTCCTGAGGATGCATGTGACTAACCTACTAACTTGAGAGTCCAGGCTGACCCTAAGACAACTTCCTGGGGCACTCCCAACTTCAGGAAAATTGAGAGAGGTTGTTGGGATGCTCTAACTTTTATTTAAAAGTTAAGATTGAAATACGCATGGCTGACTTCTTTTTTATTCCTATCAAATTCAACCTTGGAGTTAAATTTTGGGCATCTAGAAGCATCTTTTATTAGCCCTTGGGATACAGAAGACAACAGAAACAGGACTGTGACCCCTGGTTTACTAACCCATAGCAGCCCCACACCCTCCAGAGAATTCCTTTAAGGGGATCCCAGGTTTGCTAAGGAGGCTGTGCTCAGCCTGCTTTTGCAAATGAGTGTGGTTTGCCTCATTTCTAAGGACTCATGTGCCGCTGACATCTTTGAATTATTAAGTGTTACCTGCATGGCTAGCTGAGCACAGGAAGTTGTGTTTCTGTGCATACTCATCCCAGGTTGGTGAACCTGGGCTTGGCCGGAGAGCCTGGGTTTGAGCCACCTGGTCCACTCATCCTCAGGATCCCGTCCACCCTCAGAGGCCACTCCCAAGCTTCTCAGTTTGTGCAGAAGGTGCAGGGATGCTGTGAGCAGCGCCACCTCATGGTATTCGGAGGGAGGTTGTCCGTGGTGAGTTCGCATTACTTAATGATGCCCAATACACGGTCGACCTCTCTTCGGTATCAAATCTCACCAGCTGTCTTCTTGGACCTGATGCCAATGTAGGGGACACCATATTCATGTTGGTTCCACACCAGTGCACCTGAACATGTGTGTGCCCCTGGAACTAATGGCTAGGTGCTGCTAGCAACCCAAATCCTCATCCAGTGCATTCCTGGGGAGGAAGCATGTGACCTGTGCTCAAGACCTCCATGACTGAGGAAGTGGTGGTGCCCATGATGCTTCTGGGGTTTTGTATTTTTTTAAAGAAAAACAATAGATAGTTCTCTCCTTTTTCACTATTAAATCTTGTCGTAGAGGAAGGACTTCCTAGATGTGCTGACAAATTCAGGGAAGGGGCATAACTATTTAAGCATTTGTGGAGACTCACTAAAAGGGCAATTCACCACATATGTTGATCCAGAGGCCACACAAATTCAACGAGAGAGGACAGTTGCATTTTCAATTTCTTGTTTTTCTTTTCAAAATGGATAATTTTCTACCTTATTACCATATTTATAAAAATGACACATGCTTATGATAAAATTCAAGTGATGTGGAAACATCTAAATGAAAAAGAGGGAAAATTTCCCAATTCTCTGTGCACCCAGAAATAACCATTAAGGACTTTGGAAATTTCATACACCTGTCTGAGCATACATGGAATTAGAAAAGACAGACATAGAGAGAAAATATTTTACAGATATGAGAGCTCACTGTACCTAATCATTTTATTAAAACTGCTAACCATGGGCCAGGTGTGGTGGCTCATGCCTATAATCCCAGCACTTTGGGAGACTGAGTCAGGCAGATCACAAGGTCAGAAGTTTGTAGACCAGCCTGGCCAATATGGTGAAACCCCGTCTCTACTAAAAGCACACCCACAAAAAAATTAGCTGAGTGTCATGGTGGGCACCTGTAATCCCAGCTACTTGGGTGGCTGAGGCAGGAGAATTGCTTGAACCCAGGGGCTGGAGGTTGCAGTGAGCTGAGATTGTGCCACTGCGCTTCAGCCTGGGTGACAGAGTGAGACTCCCATCTCCAAAAAAGATATATATATGTATGAACTATAATTTTCCTTGAATTTCTCTAAAGAACAAGCTAAAGGAGATTGAAATGATTGATATATGTTTCTTGCTTTACCACCAGATGTAGCAACTCCTGAAAGATCCCTATAAAATTAAGAAAAATGAGTGTGTAAAAATTAAGTGATTGGGATTGTTATGTTTTTTAACTATTTCAATTTCAACCCTAGTTCAGAAAGATAAAGAAGTCAGCATTCTTATCACTTACTACCTCTTGCTTTTTTCAGTTATACATTTTAGTTTTACGGTATAAATATCTGCAATTTATCTAGATCTATAATTCTTGCAGGTGTTTAGCCATAGTTCTATGTTTAAGTGAATTCATTTCTGACCACAGGTTTTTTGTTTGTTTTTTAAACTGAGGTTTCTCCATTCTTTAGTTTTTAACTTTAATTTATCTCTCTATGGAATTGTCTTATGGTTTCTGTGAGAATAGCTCATAGACACTACTCTTGAGTTATGTGCATTTGAGAATATGTATCTCTTCCTTTTATACACAAGGGACAGCTTAGCTAGGTATAAAAGTCTCAGCCTACTTGGTTTTTCTCAGAAATTTATTAGATATTGTCCACTGTCTTTTGCACTGAGGTTTTCACTAGCTGTTTTAATGTGGTTTCTCCATGTAGCCTTTACAGCCCCTGCCAGGCTGAACTATTTCATCTAATGATCTTCACAAACCTTTTTGGAAAGACTTTGGGGTACTATACTCCATGAGGTCTTTCAGCTCTGAGAATGTCTGACCATTGCTTTTACATCTTTTCTCATCTGTCAATTTTTTTTTTCATTCTGTTCTATTTGGCCTTTATGATTTCAAATTCTTTTTAATTTATTTAGTCACTTTAAAGATATTTATTGTGTACTTTCTCTCAGCTTTAAAGATACAAGCCCCTTTCTTTGTTGAATTTATTGACTCTCATGATGGTGCTTTTCTTCATGGTTTTTGTAACTTTGTGTTGTGAGGTTACATCAGTTGAGCACTAAGGTGTTTTTGTTTTGTTTTAATCTCTAGGCACATGAGTTTGCATTTGGTGCTGCCTAGCACCCCAACAAATTTATCAGTTGGTACCACTTTTCAACTCATTTTGTTGGCTTAAGGAGTCCCAGATGTATGGCTGACATAAATCCTCATCATATCTTTGTCTAGAGCTTTGTTATCTCACAGGAGACCTCATTCTATCCACCTCCTAGAAGTGACAAACCCTCTCATCATTCCTAGCCATTATAAAATGTTCTGGTTCCCTTTCCATTCCTGGATCGACCTCTCCTGGACCCAAAGTTGTGTCTTTTCATCCTGCTTATACTTGAAGTTGACTACAGACCCTAGCAGCCTTTAGCCAGCACAGCACCCCCTAGGTTCCTCAGTAGCAGGTTGCACACATGTTGCTCTGAACTGATTCTTTTCATTAACACCTGAGGATTTTGCCTTGCAGCTGCATGTTTATTTGGCAATTGATTTTGGTCGTGGTTGCATTTTATCCAATACTTCTCAACATCTGTCCAAGAGAGGGTTCCCTATCAGCTCTTGTTGCTGGGGTGGAGCCTTTGAGATGAATGATCGGTAAACTTGGCATGACATTCTTGGCCCCTAGTTCCTTCCCTCAGAACTTTGTAAACTTTGCTCCACTGGTTTCTGGTGTTAAACCACTGCTGTGGACAAGTGTGTGGACAGCTGCTTTCCCCTTGGATGGGTAAATTATTTTTTTTCTGCTTAGATTTCCTAATTCTTTCTTTAGTCTTGAATGTTGGTGACTTTACCAGTCACTATTTTTATTCATTAGTTTTTCTGAATCATATTATGCCTTCTTGATGAGTAGATTTAATTGTTCCTTTGTTTCAAGGATTTCCTCTATTTTTTGAGCACTTTTCTACTCCAGGTGTTGGTCTTTTTTTTTTTGTTGAAATAATCTGCTTTGTTCATTTCATGATGCATTGAAGGAGCAGAAAGTCTGTCATCTGGCCCCCTTGCTGCCATCTCTGTCTGCAAGTCAGCCTGTTGTCATTTGCACTGTGCATTTGTCTATTTAAAACAATCCTACCCAGATACTTCCTCCTCGGTGTCAGCTTCCACCCTGGCAGGATGCCTCATTGGCAATGCCCACTTCTGAGGTGGTCATGGGAGTCAGCACCACTGGCCAGGTATGTGAATTTGCTGTTAGCAATGGAAGATTTTTAGAAACCATATACACTGTATCATTAATCTCAAGCATGCAATCTATCCTTAGGAAGGTTCCTGGACATTATGCCCACCTTTGGGGATGAGGCCATGATTCTGAGGTCAGTGCCATGACATAGTCTAATACAGTTTGCATTTAATGCTGTTTCTTTATGATCAATATTGTAAAGTCAATCTCTTTGTCGTGGACTCAGCTTTGGAGGGCTTCCTGGAAACAAGGCCTGTGTAAGGAAAGGATCGTTACTGTCAGCCTTGATGCTAATGTGAGATGAGGGAATGTGTCCTGCTACTATCAGAATGCTGAGTTTCTGTGCACTTGGCCCCTCCACCGTCCGGCTCCCTGACAGTGCTGCTTAGATATGCACCCACCTCCACAAAGGTGTTGAGGTCCAGTTGGCTGCAGGGTGCGGGATGGAATGGTTGACTACGGGACGTGTGCTTTCTTCTCAACCCTCTTGCAGTCAGTCTGCTAACCCTCAATGTTCCCTGTCTCCTAGGGGGACTTCCTGGAGGAGGCCAGCTTTGGAGAAGAGACACTGACACCGAGTCTGTGCTAGCATGTGGTACTTGAAGATAGGTTATCCGTGTTGCCTTCGCTTTACTTGTGACGAATCATACGCGGTTGACCTATTTTCCAGTGCCAAATCCTGCCTTGGAGGGCTTCCTGGAGCGGAGTCACACTTCAGGGCGTGGCCTTGGTGTCAGCTCCTCTCCAGGGTAAGCAAAGGGACCGTTGACCATAGCTGACCCAGCAGAGAATGTGCTTTCCTAAGGCTGCGTGCCCCGGCCCTAACCCTGTGTGTGTCTCATCCTTGGGGGGCTGGGGGGTGGTTCTAGAGATGGTGCCAGCTTTGGGGAAGAAGTGAGAAGGGGGGCTTTTTCTATCTGAGCTACTCTGTGTTCCTGGCGGAGAGGTCTTCCATGATGTATCCAACTTATTTTGTGACCAATCCTACACAGTGGACCCTTTCTAAGGCATTAATTCTAGCCTTAAAGCATCCTCGGGTGGTGCCGAGTTTAGGAGCCAGAACTGGTGTCTGAACACCTGAACGGATGGCAAAGCTGACAGCGTGCACATGCCCCTCGGCGGGTCGTGCACCTGCAGGCATCCTGCTTGCTCGTCCTGATGGTTTCCTCAGAAGTGCCAGCAGTCCCCTTGTCGGCTCACTGTGTGCTTGACAAGATGCTGTCCTGCTCTCTTCCCTGCTGCCCTCTCTTCACATATCACAGATGGTGCTCTGCAGACGATCTGCTGTGGCACGTCCCTTCCTGAATGGCTTCCTGCGAGAGGTGCTAATTGCAAGTACGGGATGCAGTACGGCCCGGGCTGCAGAGCATGTTTCAGGGGTGGCGTGTAACCGCCTTCCTGACTCGCGGTAACCCGCCCGCCCTCAGGGCTGCTACTGGGATGCACTGGAAGCGAGCGCCCAAGTCAGGTACTCGAATGGAGGTTGTCCATGGTGTGTTCATTTTATTTATGATGAGTATTACATGGCCAATCTCCTTTCGGTACTAAATTCTTCTTGGGAAACGTCACAGCCGGCACCTGAGCAGGGTAAGGAAGCGGGTCACCTCCACGCGGCAAGCGCTCTCTGTGTGACTTACATCCCTTGGCACACGTCCTGGCCATCATTAGGAGGAATTCCCAGAATTGATGCTGACATTTTAGGTGACACCGTGGTCTTTTAGTCTCTTCCTTGAAGACTCGTTAGTGAATAAACCACATTTAGTCAACGTTTTTAGGTAGGGCGGCACATTTTAGGGAAAGGAACTCCTTGCTGAATGGAAGGCATCCACGTTACCCACTCAAATAGCCTAACCTTTGGGTGACCTTTGGGAAGCGGCAGGTGGAGGGTTTCCTCGGCAGTGAGAATGTTGCTGTTTAAAGACACGTTTCCGTGGCACGACTCGGTTATTCTGAGTGCAAGACGAGAATTGTTCATGGCATTCATTACTACCTTAGGTTGCCAGCTGTGCGCCCTGGGCCAGCCCCTTCACCTGTCAGCTCTCTGGGCCTCAGCTTCTTCCTCTGTAAAGCAGGGTTAACGGCGGGGGGGGGGGGGTGGAACCGTGCTCCATGAGAAGCAACTAGACAGCGTCTGGCAGGTAGCAGAGCAGGATAAGCATTGTTTCTGAGGATGGTCATTATATGAATCTTACGTCATCTTCACTCATTGTCCTCTCCCGGTAGAATGGAAGCTCCCTGAGGGCAGAGTCCTTGTCTGTCTTGCCTGGCGCTGTGTCCCCAGGTGTGCACAGCAGGTGTGATGCCGAATGAATGAATGAATGGATGGCAGTGTGACCGGTTTCCTTGGTTGAACTCTCTTTGAGGCCTCCTGGAATGGAGTACATGGAAGACAGTCACCTGAACCTATGCTCTCCTTGTGACACAGCCCCACCCACCCTCTGAGGATGCTGCACTGGAAGAGGAGTTACCAGCCTTCAGGTCGGGTCCTCCTCCAACCCTCTGAAGGCTGGACTGACCATGGTCACGTGATTTATCAGCAGCACCCCCCTTTCTCTGTGTGAAATCCCACTGTAGGGACTTCCAGAGGAGATACCAGCCCTGGAGCTGAACCTGGGTGTCCCTGCTTCTTTAGGGTAAGTGACCAGCGGCTGGCCCGAGCCTGGGCAGACCCACGATACAAGTGCGTTTGGCCTCGCCCACGCTGCTTGCTCCAGGGCTATAGGGGCTGGTCCCTGACCAACCGTGTTCGGATCGCCTGGGGGGCTCCTTAGAGGTAGTGCCAGTCAAGAGGGAAAGAGAGAGAGAGCAAGAGGGGAGAGAGTGAGCCAGCGAGCATGCAGCTGGAGTCAGCAGGGAGGCCGCGGAGGCAATGCCACTTTGGTGAAGAGGCATCTTGGTGTTCTTGCCCGTGCTGACGTTTGACCCTTGAGCAGAGGTTGCCCTTGGTGAATTCGCTTTATTTATGTTGAATCACACAAAGGCAACTTTTGTTTGAGTATCAAATCCTGCTTGGGATGGCTTCCGGGACCCAGCGGCAAGCTCAGGGGCATCTACACCCCTCCCGTGAGCAAGAATGGAGGGGGTAGACGTGGGTGGTCTGCCCTCTGCGGTGGATGAGAACAGATGTCCATCAGAGAACACAAGCTTCATTCATGATGGGGGCGGGGCCCCACGGCCCAGGGAGGATGCTTCCCATCCACAGGGCTTGAGGATGGTCAGCTTCAGCTCTTACCCTGGACCCTCTCTCTTTACATCACCATTTTAGCTGTGTTAATCCCAAAGACATTTCAACGGCACCAGTTTTTTTCGAAAGATATTTGACCTTGTAGATAAACAAAGAGCTCACACTTGACAGTGTCTGTGACAAGGCAGCAGCCCCAGACCTCCGTCGGGCTCACAAGCACTGCGTTTTTTTCCATGCCTTTCCTCATCTCTATTTTTCTCTTTCTATCCCCCAACCAAATATTGTTCCCAGTTTTCTCCTGGGTTATGAAACAAACAGAGGCGATCAGGATCTCATCCCATTTGTATTAAATAATAGTGATAAAAATAATCAACACAAAATAAAATGAAAAACAGCTGAAACAGCACAGTGCTAAATGTGTTCAATTCACTACAAATTGGCAGAAGAATCCAGTTTTCTTGACAACATTGCGGCTGCGACATTTGACCTGGGGAAACAGAAAGCGACGTGGCAGCCACGGGAGGAAATTCACGCGGGCGGCAGCAGCAATCAACAGGAGTATTTGATACAGACGAGGGTACACTGAGGCAACCCAGTCTTCATTCAGATTTTCAAATGGAAAAGAATTGATCCTAATGAAAATGATTTGGGGAAAATAACAAGGGAAATAAAAGAAATGAAAACAGCTCAGCAGCACAGTCGAAGCTAAACAGGGAATTGGATTAGTGTCATGGAATTCGCTCTGAAAAACACGTTTCCATGAAAATCAACGTTGGTATAGTTCTGGTGAAGATGATTGAATTTGTGTGTGTTCACAGTGGAGTGGGTGGGGTCAGGAGGAACCTAGGGTCAAAAAATGGGATACAGTCCCCCTTTATGCAGGTGACCTTTTTTTGGTGCCCCCAAACCTTTCCGAGAGCCTCCTGGAGAGGCATGCTGACTTCAAGCACGACATGCTGGCTGGTAAGGCGTCCCCCCGGGGATCTGGGTGCACACTGTCTCCAGAGCATTCACTGCGTTAGGGACATGCCTCACCTGGTCCAGTCTCTCCCGGTGTCCCTCCATTCCCACGGAGGGTTCTAGGCGGGATGCTGACTCTGGAGGGAAGCAGAAGGACCACTTGGTGGGGCTGGGTCTTTCAGGACAGTCACTTCTGTGAACCTAGAAAGTCTGAGACAGCTCTCCCTTAATTTAGAATGTTTATTTTGCCAAGGTTGAGGCTACACCCGTGACATGGAAGTCTTGTGGTCAAGGGACAGCTTGGTTTTATACATTTTAGGGAGACATGAGGCATCATTCCGTGTATGTACGAAGTCCCTTGGTTTGGTCTGCAAAGGTGGGACAAGTTGAAGGAAAGGCAGAAGGAGGGAGGGGGCTTCCGGGCCGCAGCGAGTCAGCGTCCCGCCTAGAACCCTCCGTGGGAATGGAGGGACACCGGGAGAGACTGGATCAGGTGAGGCATGTCCCTAACGCAGTGAATGCTCTGGAGACAATGTGCACATCCTATGGGACAAATGATCCCATCCTATGGTGTTTCTGATGAGCCTTTCCAAAGGAAGCAAATCAGATCTACAGCTATCTCAGTGTGCAGAGGAGTGACTGAGTGCAATGAGAGGCTGCTTTATCCTAAGCAGTTTCCAGCTTGACTTTTCCTTAGTGATTTTTGGGGATCCAAGATACTTCTCTTTGACACGTCCAAGGTGACTGCTTGGAAGCCAGGAACATTCCGGGGTTTAGTCCTTCCTCAGACTCTGCCGTGGCCACCTCTCATGGCTCCAGACTGGCCCCAAGGACATGCCTTTCCTTGGTGCTGTATGTCACTGGGTCACGGTGGCTGAGCCTTGTGTGGGAAGTCATTCCGGAGGTGATGTTTCCAAGGTTGAAACCCTCGCCGGGGATGTGGAAAGGGCTTGTTTGCTGGCGTGCTTTGTTTGTGACCAGCATTGCACATGGGTCTCTTTTCAGATCAAAACCTACCTGGAGAATTTCTGGAAGCCGCAGCACCCTCAGGAGGTAGCCAGCAGCCGGAGCCCTCTCCAGGGTAGGTGCGTGGGGGACTCCCACGGGACAGGCCTGATGGTATTCATGGCGCCTGTCATCTGTTCCACTCCTGCTCACGTCCAGGGCATCCTCGGGACCGCTGTGGGAGGTGCTGCCCGCCTGGGGAAGGAGGCTCTGATGCAGGCCAGTGCCTGTGGCTCCTGCAGCGAAGTTGTCAGTGGCATCTTTTCTTTCTTTAGGGCAGGCCTCGCATGACTGGCCTCTTGCTCCACTTGTAGCAAGATGCAGAGAGTTCTCCGAACTCACGCCAACGTCAGGGAAAGGATTCTGCTGTCGGTCCCACTCCAAAGTTCACAGAATGGGTGGTGGGCACAGAATCCGGACTCTGCTGGTGGCATCCGTCGTCCGGCCCGACGTTCGCTGGCTGCCTGCTCCAGGAGGCACCCTGGAGCCTCCAGGAGTGTGTCCCAAGTCTGGGGAAGGGTGGGTTCTGAGGTCAGGGCTGCCACGACCCTGGTGAAGACAGGACATCTGTGACTCACCTGCTTTCTTCTGCTGCATCTATCCCTGTAGTCCCTTATGTTTCAGGTCTCATTTTCTTTCTGAGGCTAATCAGAGGGTCAGCCGGCTGGTGATAACTGTGAAGCCAGCCTTTGGGGGGTGCCGGGTCATGCCTCTGTGGGCTGGAGATGGTGCTGATGAGACCACAAGGATGCAGGTCTGGGGTCGGCGTTGTGCCCCCAGAGCTCCTGCCAAAGGCATCCTCTGCCAGGAGGGAGGTTCTCTGCATGTGCAGGGTCCCTAGGGTCACCCCCTCTCAGGGTCTGGGAATGAAAAGTGGGTGCGAGCAGGGTTTCGTCTTCATCTTGGGCAAGGTGCCCTCTTTTCAGTATAGGATCTTGCCTGCGTCTTGCATTCAACTCCTGGGGAGAGTCTCCAGCTTCATTCTGGAAGGGGTGGGCATGGTTGGACTTGGCAATTGGGAATGTCCTTGGAGACCGTGAGGCTCTAGTCCCTGAATGCCCAGACCTTGTGCTGCCCTCGGGGGAGGATATTCCGCAAGGACGGCCGCCTGCAAGCATCCACCTTCGTCCGAGCATCTGAGCCTCTCCATGGTACTTGGGGAGAGGTTACCCGAGCAACTTTGCATCTAGACGACGAATGTTGCTCGGTGAACCCCTTTTCGGTATCAAATTCCACCAGGGAGGCCGTCTTGGAGGCCGGGGCACCTCAGGGAAGGACACCGGCATCAGCACCGTTCTGGGGTAGGGGATGGATGGTCGACCAGTTGGAAAGTAATTGTTTCTAATGTACTTCACCTGGTCCACTAGCCGTCCGTACCCGCTGCAGCCCGCGGGGCCTGCGTGCCAGGAGCCGACCGCGCTTCAGCTCAGCGCCTTTCCTGGTACTTGAAGAGAGATCGACCGTGTTATATTCGCTTTGTTGATTTCGAATAATACATGGTTGATCTTTTCTCAGTATCAAATCTCACCTTGGAGGACCTGTTGGAGACAAGCCCTTTTGAGGGTGGGAGCAGGACGGGTGCTTTGGTGTCGCGGCCTCAGTGGGGGCCTGTCTGGGCAGGGCGGGGGTTGGCTTCCTGTCTCTCTGTCTTCTCACCTTTGGTGTCCCGTCCATCCTCAGGACAGCTTCCCGGGGGCGACGCTGGCACCATGGGACACAGCAGCTATGTTCTTGAGCCAACGGCACTCTGGGTACCTGAGGAGAGGTTGTCTGTGATGAGTTCGCTTTTATTAATGACGAATATAACACAGATGGCCTGTTTTCAGTACCGCTACCGCCCGGTGGTGTGGGCGCCGTGCTTGAGGCGACCTCTCCCGGGTACGTGAATGCATGGGCTGGCATGACATTTCTCATCCTCTCCCCAACCCCCGGCATCAAACCATTTGGGGAGAGCTTTCTGGGGCCATATGGACTTCGGGGAAGATGCTGGGGATGTGCACTGGGGTGGGGGACGGTCATGAAGTTGAGGAGCATGAGTGACGGGTGACGGGGCTCAGTCTGTTTTTCTTGGCTAGTGTCATTGGGGCAGAGGACTCCGGGGAGCTAGTCCCACTGGAAGGCATCTAGCTAGAAGGGCAACTACCCCTCACCAGGGTGCTGGGGACAGCTGCATGCATTTCCTGCACCGGGGCTGCCTTCCCCTTGTCCCAGTGCTGTGAGACCCTGGGTGGGAGCCGGTGCCTCAGGTGGCCGTGTGTGCACGTGCTGCTCCCCGTGGTGCGTGAGGGGAGGTGGCCTGTGGTGCGTTTGCAGAAATCATAACACATAAGACGTGATCGACCTCTGTTCAGTATCAGATCCTGGCTGCATGACTCCTGTGCCTGCTGGTGTCGGGGAGGGCCGGATGCACGCCCTGTGGGCTTCCAGGAGCATGGCTGGCAGCTGAGCGTGCACCTGACTTCCACCTGGAGGTGGGTGGCTGGCAACAGGGCTCGTCACTGAGGAAGAAGCCTCCTTCCTGGAGTCGGCACTGCTCAGCGGTTCCTGAAATAGGTTGGCTGTGAGGTGTTCACTTTCTATATGATGAATATTATACAGTCAGCCTCTTTCCGGCATCCAATCCCACCTGGGACGCTTTCCTCCTTGCTGCCGGCTCCAGGCAGCGGCTGCCTCTGTGCTGGTGGACCCTATGGACTTTGTCGGGACCTGTCAGCTCCACTCTGTTCTGGAGGGCTTTGGATGTGCCCCAGTTCCAGTGTCAGCAGGAGCACCTGCCACACTCTCGCTTCTGGCTGGCGCTTCCCCCAGGCTGGGCTGGCCTTCAGCTACCTGATGCTCATATTTGTACCCCCGGCCTGCCCAGATTATGGCAAGATGACCAAGGCCTGTTTGCAGCTGACCTGGAAACTTAGTGACTCCAGCACATGCTGCTCATGCCCAGGGGAATGGAGGAGTACCCTCGGCTGAAGGTACGGGCACCTCAGGAGCACCTCCAAGGGGTGAGCTAAGGCTGTCCTTCATCACGGGCCATTTGTCAGTGAGCTCCTAGGCTCGGGAGGTCCTCATCGATCCCTGGCTGAGACGTCGCTGCCTTGGAAGTGGCAGCCCTGGGCCTGCCTTCCGCTTTCTGGGTTCCTCCTCTGGACCGCTCCTCTCTGTCCAGCATGGGAGTGGGGATCCCCGGCACCGTCCCTCTGGGCTGCCTGCTCCCACTCTCCCTTGGCACCCCTCTTCTCCAGCCCCTCTGGCCACTTGGGTCTCCCTCCAGGGCCCCCTCCTTCTGCCAGGGACAGCATTTCCAAGTGCAGAGTCCAGCTGCTGCTCAGCCGCACTGCCCAGAGCGCCTCCCTGGGCCCCTTCCCTCGGGCTTGGTGCCAAAATGGTCCGAGGACTCCCCGCCCCCCTCCTCTTTTGGAGCCACAGCCTATGCCCTGTGTTTCCATCGTTCGTTCTGGCCCTGCACACACCCCTCCTTCCGGAGCTGGGTCCTGGGCAGCCCTGCTCTGCCCTCGGCGGCCTCCTGTCCCGGCTCCGGCCCTTCCTTCCTCAGAGGCCCACATCCTTTGCATTTTCCTTTCCCAGGGGTTCACGATTCCCGAGGGGATGCAATGTCTCCTGCTCAGCAGGTCACCCCTCCACCAGCTGCCCATTACCGTTTTCTTCCTCGCTTACGGCTCTCTGAAATTGCCTAATGTTAATTTCTCGGTGACCTAGACTGAGATTTCTCATGGCATAATTTTCTCTCTCTCTCTCTCTCTTATCCTCTGCTGAAACAGTAGCCAAACAGTGAGTGTTTGCTGATTGACTAATGGAGTCCTCAAAGGCAGCGACCGGATCAGGTGACTCCCCAGGCAGGTGCTGTGCACAAAGCTGGCGGTCAATAAGATGCGGCGACTGAGTACATGACTATGTTAATCGATCTTTAGAAATTCGTCCCATTTGTTCAAAGCCATTTGGTTTTCCAGCCTTTTCTGCCCTTCCAGGATGTCATTTGAGAGGCTGAAGTTTGTTGCAGGAGGCAAGAGTCAGCTGGGTCTGGGTTCTGCCTTCCACTTTTCAGGGGATGGGGGCACCAAAGCCCCAGAGGAAGTGACAGGCCCCGTGTCTCCCTGGAGACGTGGGCTGAGCGCGACCCAGCCCCTCCAGCAAACGCCACGGTGCTGAGAGCCAGATGCTCCAGGGACCTCCATCCGCAACAGGCTGGAGTGTGGTGTTAGGGCTCATATTTTATGCATGGGACTGGCTAAATGGGAACGTTTGGAGATGAAAATTGCTGTTAATGCATCTACACATCTTTGGAATATATTAAATGTGTGTATGGGGGGGAGTGACATTAGCCTCATTTAATAGCTTCAATGCAGCCATCCGCACAGAGCCGCATTAACAGGCACGGTCACCCCGCCCCGGGGCTCCAAGGCCACCACTCAGGGAGAGTACTGGGTGCATTACTGGCCACTTGAGAATCATGCCTGAGTCTGGTGTCAGCCTGACTTTCGGCAAAGTGCATGTTCCCTGCTCATTTCAGACCCAAGCACAGCGACCCTGTGCCACTTGAAGCAGGATTTCATTAAAAGCAAAATGATTTCTCTATTGTTTGTGGAAAAGAAAAAATAAGCAAAGGGACTTTCTCATCTGATCAGCCAAATGAGAACGTGTGTCCCCCAGGTGGCCAGGGTGGAAGTCTCTGTGGACCCCTCAGCCAGAGGGTCAGTGACTTGTTCCGTCTCCAAGGCGGTGTGTAAGCCCTGCCGCCGGTCCAGGTTCACAAGGCGCACTCTTTTTTCCACCTCGAGGGCTGGTTTATCCCAGCTGTGTCTCCTAGACGTGGTTGGGAAATTGCATTCCCCTTTCCTTATTGTTTTCAGAGGGAGACAGGAGGAAATGTCAGAGCTTTCCTGACTGGGGGCTTGCCTTGGTCCCGGGCCCCAACAGGGGCTGTGAGGGGACAGTTTCTGTTCCGTAGTCAAGGAAATGGAGCACAGGCAGGTTGAGTGACTGGACCAAGGCCACCCAGCCAGAGGTGGGCAGGTCTGGCTCCAGGCGGTGTGCTCTCACTCACCCTGCTTGCAGGAGCTTAAGGAAGACAGATCACTCATCAAAAGGGCCTGTTTTCTTTGTACTACCTGATGAGGTAGGCTCTCTTTCCCCAAGACTTGGCTTGTCAGAATATTCGTGGTTTTTTCTTTGTACCCACCCAGCGTCTCTCCAACGTGGTGCTATCACCTATGAAATGGGATGCTTCGGTACCTGTCTGGCCTGGGGAGAGGGCTGCTTGATTTGTCAGAAGACTCAGAGCATGATGGCTCCTGAAATACCAAAGACCCATGTTGACCTGTGTTTTTCGATCCACTTGATGGCAGTTAGGGCTGAATTCACTACCTTGGTTGCATGTAGTGAACAAGACCCAGTGAAGGTGGATGGAGCACTGAGACCATCTGGCTGATCTTCCCTGGGTGGGCCCAGGTGCTCCCCACACTGCCCCCACTCTGTCTGTGTACCATCCCCCTGCACAGACACATTGGCTGGTACAGTCCTGGAGACCCAAGGAGCCCACGGCCTTCAGGGGTCCTCAAGGATTCAGAGAACCCCGAATGTCAGGGCTGCTCCCTTCTTGTCCCGCCTCTCTGCTCATACCCTTGGATAGGTAAGAACACAGGTCCACAGAAGGGAGGGTGCATTGCTGGGGCTTTTCTTCTGAGCACTGTCTCCCCAACTTTGGGGTTGAGACTCTGGGGTCTAGACCCACCTCTGATAAACAAGCAGCTTCTTTCTTTGTAAAAATTGAGGTGACCCAGACCAAGAAAGGCTGCAAAACACCAAGTGGGGACCTGAGTACCCAAGGGGCTAGGGTTTCAGCCACCCCATAGGGGAGCTTTTGGAAGCCAGGGCCCTTGGCTCTGCGGTGCTGGCTCATGGTAGGTGCTCGGTTCATGCCCATCTCCCTGGATGGAATCTGACCACAGACATCAGCGCAAAGCAGCTGTTTGACACAGGAGTATGTTCAGGAGCTGATCTTTCTATCACCAGGAGGAAGCACACAGGAGGCACTCAGAGAACGTTTGTGGAATGAATAAATAAAAGCATATTCTCTGAGGGAATGAAGAAGCGGAAAAACGAAGAAGAATCCGGGGAAGATGGGTATAAATCTCCACCAAGTGCTGCCAAGGCTTCCCAGCTGAGGCTGCTTAAAAGGCCCTGTGGAGGTAGAGGGACCATTTGTCATGGACAGGAATGGGCTTGAGGGCCAGGAAGCAGGGTGATGGAGCCTCGTTCATCATTTTCCCATTATCCCAGCAAAGGGTATCGGTGCAGCTGCACTGCCTGCCCGGAGGCCATAGGCCCTGGGCTCTGTGAGCGCCAGGCTGGGGACTGGGAATGGAAGGGACATCAGGGAAGGACAAGCTGGGTTCTCGGAGGCTACCTCCTGCAGGAAGTCTTCCCTGATTCATCCTCCACAGGTACAGCATCTGAATTTGCAGTCATATATGCATTGTTCTGATTCTTAGATGAGCAGGTATCTCCCTACTCAGACTGCAAGCTCTGCGGGGGCAGGGGCTGTTTCCGATCTGTGCATAGTGGCATCCTGGTACCTGGCACAGGACCAAGTCCAGATGCTGGTTGGCCTTGTCTCCCCTCTGCGGGCAGCACTGGACAGGGCCCCCAACAGGTCCTCAGGGTTTGGACGTCCCATGGCAGAGCCTGTGGTTGATCCCAACCATGAATGAAGGCCTGGGGCAGGGGCGGTCACATCAGGCCACTTCTTCCCTGAGAGATGCTGCTGGGAGCTGGGAGCCTGGCTGGCCCTCGGAGGCATTCCTTCGGACTGCATCTGTCAGCAGGTCTGCTGGTGGTCTCTCTTTGGGCCTGGAGCAGGGATGGGATTTTTCCAAGGTACCTGGGGTCTAGGGGAGACCCAGTCCTGTTATTAGGGTTGGTCTCGAGAAGGCAGAGATCATGCCACCACTTTATTTGGTGTAGCTCCCCACCCCATCAGTGTGTGTTGAGTGAATGAATGAGTCAGGGACTCCTGATTCCTGCCCAGAGCCCCCTCCGCACCCCACACAGCCTTGCTCGAAGATAGAGGGGTCAAAGCCAACAGAACACTGCCACAGTGGGGAGCCTTGACCAGGCCGGGCCCTCGACGGGGGGATAGGCGGACAGGCGCCTGTGCAAGGGAGCAAGCTTGCAGGTTTCTAGAGTGCAAAGGCCCTGGTCTTCCTGGGGCGAGAGGCTGCTGAGAAGGGGCACAGAGCTTGGGCGCAGGAAACCATCCAGAATGCTGCTTCCCGCCATCTGTGAGATCTTCGTTTTCTCTAACACTCAAAAATAGATGTTTCTGTTATGCTGTGTCGTTGGCAGGGGAGCGGCGGGGCCTGCCAAGGCCTGGGGGAGCCCGCCAGCCTGCTGAGTTTTACTGTACAAACAGTTGGGGAGGGGGGGCTGTCTCTGTTAACTTGAAACTCCCCGATCAGTAAACATGCCAATTTAAAGTGTAATTAACTCAGGCCGGAAAAAATTTAGATTTGGACTGCTTTTCACAGTTGAGGTTGTTTTTCTTTTATTTATTTATCTCTTTCCGGGTGTGGTGGTATCTGTGGCTGGTTTTAGCCAGGAAAAATAGAAGGGGGGACCGGGTGGGGAGGGGGCTGATTGGGAGAGGAAAGGCTGGAAGGAAAGGGAGAGAGGGGCGGATGGCGTGACACCCAGCTGCCGGGTGTCTGCAAGCTGTCTGTCCTGGGAGGCGGCTGTCAGGGTGATCCTCGCCTGCAGAGAGGGGCTCATTCTGTGAGGATGGGCTGCAGACCCCCATGCCAGCGGGCCTGGTGATTCAGAAATCATGGGGCACAGTGGAGAGACCCCAGGAAAACACCCAGTGCTGCTTCCGACACTCTCTCTTCCTTCTCCCCTTTCAGTGGCTGCTCTGCCTGGATAAACCCATCTTGACAGTCTCAGTCCTTGCCTTGCCACCATCTCCTCTGATCTCCTTTCCTGCTTCAAAAGACTCCAGACCCGTCCCGGTTCTCGGAGAAGACTGACTCCGCCTACAACCCAGCGGGCACATCTTGTGCCAAGATTGTTTACATTCTGGTCCTGGGAGCCACGGGTCATGGCCTGGTCCTCACACAGACCCACTCCTCAGCAGCGCCCATCTGCGGCTTCTCCCACCTCACCAGGGAAGAAGGAGAGCCCTGGGGACATGGAGAAGCCCCCAGCTCTCCCCGCCTCTTACAGAACCTCCACTGAGTCCCTGGAGGCACATCGGTCAGCAGGGCAGGAGCAGCCTTTGCCGTGGCATGGGGCGGGCTGTGCTGGGGATGAGTGCCGAGTGGCTGTGGACTAAGTGGAGGAGCAGATGCCCCTACCCTTCTCCCAGCTGGACGGCGGGACCGGGCAGGAACAGTGGGATTCCTGCTCTTCGTTTTCAGACACTTGCTGTCAAGCAATTTGAATAATAAATACACATTATAAAGATGTAAATATGTTTGTGTGTCTGTATGTTCAGAGACGATGTTTGTGAATCGGGAAGTTTAACCACAAAGGCCATCTGCCTCCATCAGGGATTCACACAGAACGTCACTGGCCTTCGCCCAATGAGCACTTTGCTGGGAGCAACCTCCTGAAGTAGGGGCTCACTCCTGGGCCCCTCCATGGCATGGGAGCCCCACGTCCCAAGGCAGGAGCCAGGGCCACAAAAAGATATGCTTCTTCATCAATCCGAGGCCTCAGACTGCTCCCCTTCCCCACTGCCTGCCCTTTCCGGACCTGGGGCTGACAGCCTGGGCCCCATGAGGGGCAGAGGCCAGAGCCCAGGGGCAGAGCCCGTGCCCACGCCTCGGTGCTGCCAGCCTCCGCTTGGTCACGACACAGCCTGGCTGACTCAGACACGGCCCTGAGCGGGAGCCTCATAAATGACATCATTACCTATGAAACCTGCCACGGCGTGGGGAAGGACGCACTCTGGCCGCCGGTGACTCACTGTTTTCCCCGGAGCCGCCCTGCTCCACCACCTGGGTCTGGGTTGGCTGGGCAGGGGGAGGGGGCACCCCACTTGACCTCACTCCCTGTTCTGCTGTAAATGCAAAGCCGGTAGCCAGGCAGCCACTGTCTCGCTGAGGGCTGTAGGGGGAGGGGCACCATCTCTCCAGCCTCCCTCTGCAGCCCCCGTGGCACCCCACATGGACGGTCGGTTGCCTATGACAGAGGAGGAAACTGAGGCCTGGAGAGGCCCCTTGCCTGGCATCATACACCCCACAGGGGAGAGTGGCTTTGGCTCGTGGTGGAAACCTGCAGGGAGACCCTCAGGGGAGCCCAGCGCTGGGCAAAGCCTCACAGCCTCTGGTACTCCTGCTGGTCCTGAGACCAGCTTCTCCTGAGCTCCTTTGGTGCGGCCAACTCCTCCCGCTGTAAAACACTTCTACTCTTGAAAGTGGTGGCCTTGCCAACCCAAGGTGCCCACACCAGGTCGGGGGTGTGGCAGGGGAATGCTAGTTTTTTGTTTTTGGGGTTTTTTTAAAAATTCAATTAAAAAGTAAAGCAAGTAAAATGGGATCTGTTGGGTATGGCCTTCAGAGTGGGGGGACCTGGGTTAAGATTGGCCTTTGTCATTTTCCTGTCCTGTGGCTTTCTTGTCTCTGGCCTCCTCCTCCTAGGCAGGATTAGAGTGCCTGTTAGGTTCACATTAAACTGGGGCTCCCCTCAGTGAGCCATGGCTGTGGAGGACCCCCACCCATCCTGAAGTCACAGTGCACCTGCAGCCCGGATGTCACCCTAGCCGAGGGACCTGCCCTGATGCTCTAGCCTGCACACGCTGCTGGCTCTGGGCATGCCCTCCTGATCCCCCAACCGAAACAGGAACCTCAAGCAGCACCAGTCTGTTTTCACTCTTAGAAAGCTCAGAGCAGCAGCCTGTGCCAACGTCGTTCATGCTCTGGTCCCCAGAGCCACAGGTCACAAGCTAAACCTTACCCAGACCCGTTCCTCAGCAGCCTCCATCCTTGACCCTGGGAATCTGCTCTGCTGTGTTCTGAGCTGTGGGAGCTGTAAGGGAGAGGCGTGGGCCACAGGCTTGCATGGGAGGGTACAGAAGTAGAAATTCAAGTCAGGGCCACCGAGCTGAGTGTTCAGAGCTGGGGACGTGACCTGTGCTCACCACAGAGCTGGTTGCCTGGGAAGAGCAGGGAGGGAGACGGGGGTCACTGGGGCTGGGCATCCTCAGACACATCTTAGGCAAATGAGCTCGGGGTCACAGGGCAGGCTATGTAGTGCTGAGGAGCATTGGCCAGCTCTCTGTGTTGTGACCCAGGCTGGCCTGGGGTACAGTGGGGGTCCCGGGACTGGCAGGCCCCACACAGCAGCCTTCCCTGAGTCTGTCTGAGCCGAAAATCCCAGCAAAGGGCCTTGTGACCCAACGCCACTTTCACCCTGGTAGCTGCACCTCACTTTCCACTTTCACTCTGATAGCTGCACCCCACTTTCTACTTTCACTCTAGTAGCTGCACCCCACCTTCCACTGACACTCTAGTAGCTGCACCCCACTTTCTACTTTCACCTGGTAGCTTTACCCCACTTTCCACTTTCACTCTGGTAGCTGCACCCCGCCTTCCACTTTCACCCTGGTAGCTGCACCCCACTTTCTACTTTCACCTGGTAGCTTTACCCCACTTTCCACTTTCACTCTGGTAGCTGCACCCCGCCTTCCACTGACACTCTAGTAGCTGCACCCCACTTTCTACTTTCACCTGGTAGCTTTACCCCACTTTCCACTTTCACTCTGGTAGCTGCACCCCGCCTTCCACTTTCACTCTGGTAGCTGCACCCCGCCTTCCACTTTCACCTGGTAGCTTTACCCCACTTTCCACTTTCACTCTGGTAGCTGCACCCCGCCTTCCACTTTCACTCTGGTAGCTGCACCCCGCCTTCCACTTTCACCTGGTAGCTTTACCCCACTTTCCACTTTCACTCTGGTAGCTGTGCCCCACTTTCCACTTTCACTCTGGTAGCTGTGCCCCACTTTCCACTTTCACTCTGGTAGCTGCACCCCGCCTTCCACTTTCACTCTGGTAGCTGCACCCCACTTTCCACTTTCACTCTGGTAGCTGCACCCCACTTTCCACTTTCACTCTGGTAGCTGCACCCCACTTTCCACTTTCACTCTGTTAGCTGCACCCCACTTTCCACTTTCACTCTGGTAGCTGCGCCCCGCCTTTCGCTTTGCCACCAATTCACAGCTCTCCTGACATGACTTCCAATGGGTTAAGGCATATGCACATTTCTAAATGACTGCACGCACCCCGTCACATGCTTGTGCACACACTCTGACACGCATTTGAGGAGTGGGGGCATTCTGTGTGCCAGAGCCGAGGTCAGGGCCCCTGGATGTGGTAAAAGAGTTGAGGGAGTCGGGCAGCAGAAGCACGTACTGGTAGAAACAGCAAGGGGCCCTGGATTGCTGGTGGGTGAGTGCTGTATCCGTTCCTGGGCTAGAAGAAAGGCTTGAGGTCAGAGTGGACCCGACTCTCTTTGAAGCACAGATTTCCTGTGGTTCTTTCTAAGACCAAAGCCACTGAGACCTGTGCAGCTGTCCCTGGGTCACTTTGATATCACACAGCCACAGGACTCTCTATGTCTGTCCTGATCACTACTAAAGGTGACCCGGCCCTCTCCCTGCAGTGATGAGCCCTCTCACTCACACCCAAGTCCCCTCATGGCCACACTTATTTGTCTGGGGACTGTTCGGCTGGCCACACCCCCTCTTTGGTGGGTAGCAGAGAAAGTGACACATCTGACTAAAAAGGCTGGGGTCACACTACCCAATAATTTGAGTGGAGTTTTTTGCACAGAAAGAGAGTTTGTATTCCAAAAGACAAAGACGTTTCCAAGCCTCAAGAAGGGATGCCGAGAAGTCAGTGAATTTCTGAAGCTGCCCGGGTTTCAGCCCCAGAGAGACAACAGCCCCACCTGACACAGCCAGGAGCCTTCGGGGAAGCGGCAGGCAGCCCCCACTTCCTGGGCACTCAAGACGCCCTGTGCCCAGGGACGGCCCACGGCCCTCCCAGGGCTCTGCCCACTCCTGCCAGCTCATTAGGGAAGAGGCCTGGGTTTCACCCCCAACTTGGGCACTAACCCTGAGGATGGGAGTGGGGGCAAAGGTGGCTTCAGTGCTGCCAGGGCCCCACCCTCCAACACTGAGTCACTGGCCCAGCTCTCCCATGCCTGTGACCTTGAGGCAGTCACCTGAAGCCCTCTGGGCTTCAATATCCTCCTAAGAGGACCTGGGTTCTTGAGAGAGACACTAGAGCCTGCCAGAGCAGAGCCCGGCAGCTGACTGGTCCTCCATCACCCCGGCCTCTCCGCCAGCCTTCTCTGCCTCTCCCACTTCAGCCCCACAACCGGTTTGGACTCTCGGGGGTGCTGGCTGCATGGAACAGATCACCTGCGTTTGGGCCACGGCATCTTCCCTAATGAGGGAGGAAGGAGTGGGCAGAGCCCTGGGAGGGCCGTGGGCAGTCCCGGGGCACAGGGCTTCTTGAGTGCCCAGGAAGTGGGGGCTGCCTGCCGCTTCCCTGAAGGCTCCTGGCTGTGTCAGGTGGGGCTGTTGTTTCTCTGCTCTCTGCTGTCATCTTCCCTTTGCCATTTCCCTCAAGGCGCTGACATTTTCCTGGCGGGTCCAGGGGGAAGGGGGGCGGCAGCTGCAGAGAGCCCGGGTGAGGGGGGTGCCTAGCTTTTACTGAGGCTGCATCTTCCCAGGGCTTGGGGAAAACAGCAGGTGCAGACTGCCCCTTCCATGGAGGGGTCACTTCATTGGTTCCCCCAGAAAACCCCAACAGCTGCCATGTGGTTTCCACCTGCCCTGCCTGTGCCCGGCACAGAGCGGCCTAAAAGGCGGGTCACCTAAAAGGCGGGCAACAGTCCCTTTGTCTCCAACATCCTCCCTCTCCAGGATTCTTGGAGCGCTTGTAATGGCAGCAAACAGCCTGAGCAAGGGGCTTGCTGGCCCTCCGAGGCTCCTGGGCTCTTGGTAATGTACCACGAGACAAGAACTGTGAGGGTGTATTCAGATTTCATGCATTCAGCTTCTATTGAACTAACAGTCCCTGAGAACCCATGCTCACCCCACAGAGCGAGGCCCGCCTCTCCCCAACTGCCTGGCAGGGCACCAGGCTGCAGAGACGAAGGAATGAGACCTTTAGAAGCCTGGGCCAGTTACTGACACTGGGCGACCACCTCTGGTACGTCTGGGGTGGGGAATATGCCGCATGCCCAGTGCAGCCCCAAGATGCTTCCCAGCCAGGAGGACCCCATTTGCCAAGGCCTGTTCCACCCCTTGCCTCCCCCAACGCCCCTTCCTGGCGGCCAACCGTGCTTCCACCTTTCCCTTTTCCAGCTGAAAAGTAAATGCAGGCCAGAGAAGCCACCTGCCTGGTTCCCACAGCCCGAGGGGGAGGAGGAGGGGGAGGGGGTGCTGCCACTTCAACTCG